AATTTACCATCAACAAAAAAATAAGAGAACAATTAATGATGAGAGCCCGAAGAGAGTAGCAGTGGTTATTACTCGCAAGATGACCATCAATATACACATTTTGCTATCTCATTTTCATAATACATACATATATAAATAGAAAACGAAGTAAATGAGAGGACCGTATGTGAGACGAGAATAAATGAATTCTCGCTCATACGGCTTCATCGGGAATTGATAAATTTATTCAATTTATTCAATCAACAGCATCATAGAAATGCAGTGCGCCAAATGCAAAGCCTCGGCGTTAAAAAACAACGAGCTTAGTAAATGTTAAGCGCGAACCGCAAAAGTGCAAAAAAGAAGAAGAGAGTCGGAGAGAGAAATAATGAGATACAGAGAGGATACATGCGCGTAGCCAGGGGGTGGTGGCGGGCGGTCGCCCCCCCCCCCCCCAAAAAAAAAGAGAGAGAGAGAGAGAGAAAGAAGAAAGGAAGAGGACATAGGAGGAAAAAGGATTAAGAGTCGAGAACGGTACAACGAATCGTCTTCTTTCTTAAATAATTGAACGAAACGTCAAAGCTTCCGCGCTTCGCGCGGGAGGGGGAGGGAGGGGACTGAATTTAGACAAGGATTAAGAGTCGAGAATGGTACAACGAATCGTCTTCTTTCTTTAATAATTTAATGAAACGTCAGAGCTTCCGCGCTTCGCGCGGGAGGGGGGGGGGGGGGACTCCCCCTCCCTGCACCAACCCCCTAGGAGGTGCTCACTACCGCTCCCTAAATTAAAATCCTGCCTATATGCTTGAGAGGATAATAACCCAGGTAGCAAGCCCATATGGGACCCACATGGGTCCCATATTCTCTAAAATGTTATCGTTGTGGAGGGTGACTTGAACAAGTTAATAACTTGGAAGGGAGAGGTGCAACCTGCCACACGCCTCTACCTCTTGGTTGCTTTGATCCATTTACGAAAATATTTTTGCAGCTATCATCCCCCCAACCGAGGATACAAATCGACACCCTTGGCAATAACGTTAGCTACCATCGAACGTTTCTGCTAAAAAATAGCCTATACAGTGTGTATCCAAAAAAAAGTGTACCACTTTGGTAGGTTCTAATTAAAAAGTTATATCCTATGTGACCTTGAATCATATTTTATTGTAGAGAATAATACACTATCCATTATGATACCATTTTCACACTCGTGCTGACAAGGATAACCGAACAGCAGCAGGGGCCCGTTCCTAGAAACCGTCATAAGTCTATAACTTCTTGACTATCCCATTGAAACATGTGTTATAGAATTAACACGCGTTTAGGAACGGGCCCCAGGCCTTTCAAACTTGGTCGTGAGGGGACTCTCACTATGAACGTTACGGACAAAGAAAGAGGACAAATATACAGTTCCTCAGGTAGACAAAGGAACATCCCTTCACTGCTATTATGTAAAAATGTGTAGAACAGGTGAATATGCATATACACCTGTTCTACACATTTTTACTTAATAGCAGTGAAGGGGTTTAGGGCGCTTGACTGGAGATGCGAAGGTCGAGGGTTCGAATCCCGACACGTACACTCAAAAAAAAAAAGTGCTAAATTTAGCACTTAAAGATTCAATTTTAGCACTTTTTAGGAGCTCGCATAGTGACTGCACTCGAAGTGCTGAGTTAGCACTTGCACCCGGGCTACTTTGCTAGCACCCAAAGGAGCTGACTGTTGTGCTAAATTTAGCACTTAAAGATTCAATTTTAGCACTTTTTAGGAGCTCGCATAGTGACTGCACTCGAAGTGCTGAGTTAGCACTTGCACCCGGGCTACTTTGCTAGCACCCAAAGGAGCTGACTGTTGTGCACTTAAAGTGCCAAGTTTTGCTCTCTTTTGGGTGCTAGCAGAATAGCCCTTGTGCAAGTGCTAACTCATGCGTTGTTTGACATGCCCCATCTACATTTGGTATGTGGTCAAGGTGGATGTCCTTCGTCATTTACCACTTTCAACTCTTACAGGAAACATTTATTAAACCAACATCCACAAGAAGAACCTGAACCTGAAGTTGTACAGGGTATGGAGGGTCTAGTTGATGCTGATTTGGGTGTTGCTGTTGGTGAAGTGCATAATCCTGCAGCAGATGATGCATTTGATGATGATGATGATAGGATAGGCCTACTACAAGAACAAGATGGAGCAATGCATAATGACAGTACAGACAAGACACTATGAATATGACAGACAAAGAAAGCGGACAAAATATACAGTTCCTTAGGTAGACAAAGGAACATCCCTTCACTGCTATTATGTAAAAATGTGTAGAACAGGTGTCACATGCATATTCACCTGTTCTACACATTTTACATAATAGCAGTCAAGGGGTGTTCCTTTGTCTACTGAGGAACTGTATATTTTGTCCGCTTTCATTGTCTGTCATGTTCATAGTGAGACCAGCTGCATTTTTCATTGGTTCTCTTTTATCAAACACCAACATGACCCATGCTATGACAAACAGAGTGTTATCTGCTGCAACAGCTTTGAATACTGATGTTGTTGACAGTTTAAGGAGCAAAGTTATTCAGACTTTTTAGGCCTTGGGTATTGACCTGGAGAATGAAGAATGTAAGAATCTCTTAGCTGAATTTGATTCAAAAACAAATATTCACAAGGTAACAGCTATTATACTAACCGACCAATCAGATCAGGTTATGCAGTCAGCACTCGATGTTAAGTGCTGCATATTGTTATAGCACTCGTTTTCTGCACTCAAATATTCAGCACGTTTCGGTTTCCTTGTTAAAGTTAACCCGTCAAGTGCTGATTTTGGCACTTCAAGTGTAGAATCTCACTCAGCACCAACATTTAGCACCTCAGTTTTTTGCGTGTAGGGCACTAATATCCTTTGGCAAGATTAACCTGCACTTGCTACTCTCCACCCAGGTGTCAATGGGTACTCGGTAGGATGCGGCCGTCATTGTTGGTCAAACAGCTTGTGAGCGTCAAGTAACGCCCGGCTGGAATGCTCCCCAGGGAATGGAGATTGTGCACACAATGTGTGCGGGCAAGCACTGAATCCAATGACCGGGGTAAAAGTATATTTTGTAAAGCGCTTAGAGACATTTGTATTAAGCGCTATATAAAAATTAAAAATATTATTATTATCAGAGGTGAAAAGGGGAAAATTGATTACAAAAAGGTGAACAAGGGCAATTATGATAAGGGGAATGCGCTCTTATCAAATAATAGGATAAGGGGCAATTATCAGAAGGTAAAATGACGCTTATTAGAAATGAAAAGGACGCGTATCAAAATATTTTTAAAAATTGCACTTATATCAGAGGTAAGGGCACTCATCAGAGATGACAAGGGGGACTTATCAGAAGGGGAAGGGTCACTTGGTACAAAGGAAAAGAGGCACTTGTCAAAATAAAAAGGGCACCTCTCAGATTTGAAAAGGGGCAATATTTATTGTCAGAGATGAAGGAGGGCTGCCGATAAGAGATGGTAAGCAGGGGCGTCGCTAAAGGGGGTGTGTGGTACGAAACCCCCACCTTGGATATTGTCGGTAAAATTGCGCTGCTGTCGGGAAAAATGAGAAAAGGGGGAGGGGAAAAGGAAAAGGGAAAGGGATAGAAAAGAAAAAAAGAAAAAGAAAAGAAAGAAAAGAAAGGAAAGAGAAGAGAGGAAGAAAGAGCAAAAAGAAAAGAGGAAGGAGAGGAAAGAAAGGAAAAAAGAAAAGAAAGAAAAGGTGAAAAGGAAAAAGAAGAACAATTAAAGAGAGAAAGGAAGCAAAAGAAACTGGGGATGAAAGGGGTGGGAGTAAGAAAAAGAGGGGGATGTTGGGTGGACCGGTGGAGTCGCCACGACGACGGAGCAAGATAGATAATGTTGCTGTGTCAGGTCCGCTGTGTCGGTATTCTTGCTCGATCATTGTGTACTATATCAATGCAAAATTTTGAAGTCGGTGATATATATTATGTCGGTCGGCCGAACTTTTACTTTTTATCGGACCCATAAACACATTTAAAAATGCAGACAATGATTAAGAGTCGAGAATGGTACAATGAATCGTCTTCTTTCTCTAGCTGTAATGAAACGTCAAAGCTTTCGCGCTTCACGCGGGAGGGGGGAACTGAATAAAAACTGAGTAAAAAATGGTACAACGAATCGTCTTCTTTCTCTATAAAATTTGAAAAAAATTGCACCCCCCCCCCTTGAGCCAGGGGAGGGGTGGGGCATCGGGCCTCCCCCCACCTGGATCCGCCACTGAGCGACGCCCCTAATTTTAATTTATAAATAAGAAGTTTTTCGAATAAATTAAGGCGTGCTTATTGTTTGTGAAGTTATTATTCGTATTATTACAATGCCATAAAACATTGGAATTCCCTTACCAATGGTGTAAAGGAAATAGAAAACTATGATCATTTTAAGAGGAAATTAAAGGAATACCTAATACTTGACAGTCAGAGAAAAGAAGTGAATGACATGTTATATGAGTTAAATTTGTATTCTTCTGCCGGTACTTTTTAATTTTGTATATACTTATGTTTTCGTACGTTATAGAAATTTTACAAATTCATCATTATTTTCCTTTTCTTCCTCCTCCTCATTTTTCTTCTTCTCCTTCTTCTTTTTCTTCTTGAACTTATTATAATTTCTATCATCAGTTTAATTTTATCTCCATGGTTTAATGTTGTTATTTTTATTATTATCTTTAATAAGTAATTCTTTTATTTTTCTTATCTGTCTGTAAATATTACTATTTTAACTTAATAATTGTACATGTCTGTAATGGACCCCACTGCCACTGGAAATAAGCTCTCGAGCTTTCGTGGGTTATCCTGTTCAAGCTGACTTATTTTTTATTGTGTTATTATTGTATATTGTTGTATGTTGGATGCTTGTCGAATAAAAATCAATCAATCAATCAATCAATCAACCAACCAACTCAAAAACGAAGCATGATATTTGACTTTGGCCCTGTGCTTGCGTATGTTTACCTGGGACACTATTTATGTTTGGCAGAGCGTCTGCCCTCTACGTTTGCTGGTTACATTATTTCTTTGTCTAAATTACTAAAACTCTAATAATAATAGCTTCGCGGCACAAAATCGAGAGAAACTTGCAGATATTGTGAGAAAAGGTAAGTATTCTTTTTTTATAATTTGTATTAGTACCTGGTGATGTGAGATTCAAGGAGAAAGAATGGAAGAAAAGTAGGATTGAGAGAGGTATTAAGAGTAGGTGCACGGGGGTATTCGATTAGCAAGTAGCAATGCAATGCCAATGGTGTCTGCCGCTTCAGCTTGCGTGCAGATTGGTTCACAGTCCCGTGTGTTGAGAAGTGTGCCTTCCTAAAAAAGTAAAAAAATTGTTTGGAAACTTTGGATCAATCATCAAGATCAAGGTTTTTTCCTTAAAAGTAAAAGGCTAAAATCTAAATGTTCCTCGAGATAATAAACACTGGAAATATAGTTGCGGGTCGTCTTTAATTTTGCTGAACAAATTAACGTAGTCGTACGTTTCTTTCTAGGCCTAGGCCTAGAACTTTGGCGCTTGTTCAGATCCTCATTATGGTAGATAACTTCACACGGGGGCACGCACGCCCGCGCCTGCAACCCAGCATCAGTATGCCCTTGTATTCTGCAGCGGTTTGCCGTGAAACCTGAGAAAATTTGTAGATTCTATACTAATATCATGGTTTTTCCGAAAAAATAACAAGAAAATTGACACAAAGCGGGTAATAAACATAACAACTTTTAACTCATGATCTTTATTTGGACATTTAATGAATATTTACTTCATTTTGGGTATGATAAAATGTCCTTTTCAAATCACATTGACACTGCTTACAATGCTGCAAACCGGAAATTAGGGATCATCAAGCGTACTTTTTCAACTATGGACAACAAGGGACTCACACAGTTATACAAGTCAATTGTGAGACTGGCACTAGAATATTGCTCTCCCATGTGGCACCCTTATAAGAAGAAACATATTCTCAAAGTGGAAAAAGTTCAACGTCGTGCAACTAAACTCTTACAACCTCTCAGAAGTCTTCAGTACAATATACGGCTAGAGCAACTAAATTTGCCTTCATTATCATACAGACGTCATAGAAGCGACATGCTACAGGTCTATAAGATACTGCATGGAATCGACGACCTCCAGTCAACTAATTTCTTTCATCGTTCCACTGTCACAGTAACAAGAGGTCACCAGTTCAAACTACAAAAGAAACATGTAAAATCTAAATTGAGGCAGAGCTCTTTTTCACAGAGAGTAGTAAACAAATGGAATGGTCTCCCATCATATGTAGCAGAAAGTCCATCACTCAATTCTTTCAAATCAAATCTTGACAAGTACTGGTCACTAAAGAAGGACAAGTTTAACCCTGATGAACTATTCAACTGTCCATGTTCATCCGTAACTGCACAACGCCGAATTCAACAGTAACCCACTAACGGACACCGAGGGGCAAATAAGTTTTGTATAACTTTATGCCTACTTCCAAGGTATGATATCCAAGGTATGGTATCTCCATGCCGTACTTACGGATCAAATTTTGGATACGTTTCTGAACAAGCACCAAACTTTTCGCCCTTCTTGGCCAATGAGGCTGAGACCGGTTGAACTTAAAGCACATGCATGGATTGTACCTAGTATGTAAGTTACTTTTCTACATGCTTCCTAAACATACATTGTAAGTGTGGAGCCTTACTTAAGTACAAATCTGTTTTATATTTTCAGATTTCTCTATGAGTGTTGTGATTGTTAAAACTTGAAAACAATGTCGAAGCGACGTAGATCAACCACTTCCGATGTGAGAGATGAGGACGATCTCCACACCTCTCCAACTTCTGTTGCCATCAAAAGGAGAAAAAAGTCTATCAACATTAATGATCCTGTAAGTAGAGTGTAGTAGTTTTCTCACACAAAAAATATTAATTCATCTTTGATTGGTGTTGTTAATAGATAAATGATCAACTTAGCTCAGCATGTATCCATTTTTAAAATGTGAAAAAAATCTTGTCTGTACAATTTATTAGACAGATTACCTAACAAATGATATGCAGTTTAAGGATTTACATGTCTAATCAAGGGTGATAGCTATTACATGTAGGTGATTCTGTTGCCGGAAGAAGAAAAAAAAACTTAATAATCATAAAATAGTTATACAGTAGGCTTGCGGGTGCACCATGTGAGAGAGTTGAATAAAGAATGGCTATTGCCAAGTAGACACTTTGAATTTGTGTCATTCTTTTGATGAAATGCAGCTTTTCCTAAATGTATCCAGAAATGAGCAACTATATTATTTTCCATTAACTCATGGATGCTATAACAGAAACAAGAAAAGTTATATTGTATCTACATGTATTTCTATGCATTGTGTTGAATAATGATTGTGCCTCTTTTTTTAAACTACAGGGTGAGGTAATTCAGGAGTTGTATGACATCATCAGGAACTACAAGAATGAAGAGGGCAAAATAATATGTGAAGCTCTTATCAGAATTCCAAAGAGGAGGTAAACACATCGGTTTCTTTGCTTGTAAAAAAAAAAATGATGTGAGCTGTATTGTACCAGTTGGTCTCTTTTATAGTTTACATGTTTTTAAATTTACATCAATACATGTTTAGGTTTGTGAAAAAAAGTTTGAAGTTGACCTTTTCAAGATCTGTTTACCATTCCTTAATAATGATACTAATGGGTCCATTTATATAATGCAGCTACTGCCCTAGTATCATATCATATTATAGATTATCCAATAAGAAAAAAAAGGGTATTTTGAAAAGAACCATTTACTGTTTGGATTGAATTGGATTGAATTTATTATGAAATTTGATTTTAATTTTATAATCATTTATTATGAAATTATTTTAAGTTGTGTGAAGCCATTTATCAATCATAAAGGATTGTGTTACCAGGAGAAAGAGACATGTGTGCAGTTTCGTCCCAGAGCGGTTATTTTTTTAAAGACAACCCATTAATTATCTGATAAGAGTAGCACTGAGATGACTTTAAATGTTACAAATCTGTGTATCATTTTATGACTTTAGGACTACTCCAGAATATTATGAGGTGGTTTCCAACCCATTGACATGCTGAAGATTCAGCAGCGCATGAAGACAGAAGAATATGACACAGTAGATGACATGGTAGTTGATGTAGAGCTGATGATCAATAATGCACAGGCCTACTACGAGGTAAGAGAGATACACAGTCTACTTCATTAAAAGAAGAAGAAATGAAATGGGGGGGGGGGGGTCAAAATATAATAAGATTTGCAAAATTCCGCATATTTGCAAAAGTTCATTGTTCAAGTGTTCTTCATTAATATTTTGTGAACGTTTTTTTTCTCCTTTTCCAGTTGGCTAATTTTCATGCTTATACGCTATATTTGTGAAGGTGATGACGGAGGGGAGGCATTATATTTACCAGTAAAAGTATTCAGTGCATACTTTAATAACATCTAAAATCAATAATTAATTTGATTTTTTTTTGTTAATGATAACAGGGATCTAATAGATAGATTTTCTGCTTTTGAGTGTCAAATTGAGAAAATGGAGGTAAATTTATACAAAAATATTCAATTTAAAAAAAAAGAAGAAGAACTTCAGTCATTTATTTGCAAGCAATCAAAAGATTGTGGATCTTTTGTATACATTTTATTTTAGGCCTGTAAGTAAAGTCTCTTGCTCATTTTTGTAAACAGAAAAACTCCAAGGAACACAAGGATGCCATAGAGCTATGGACTGTGTTTCTCCAATCTCGTAGAGAACTGTTAGAAGGTTCTGAACCTAAAGAAGTTCCTACAACAAGCAATGATGAAAATCAGGTAAGACCAGTGAGGCTAATGAATGGATTAAATTGCATTGTAATATGCAGTAAGCATGTCATTTTTATGATTGATATTAGTGTTGAGTGTTAAAGGTAATACAAAGTTTTGGGAAATTTTGAAAATTAGAATGATTCTTTACAATTTTGATATATTTGGATGCACCTGTAGATTTATTATAAGCACTAGAAAATTTAGCCCCTAAAACACTTCTGCTTTTGAGAAAAATGGAATATAAAAATTTACCGGTGCTCCCGGTATTTTTGATAAATTTCAAATAGCGCCTATGGCCGTACTATGGTAGCTGCGACCATGAAAATCTCAGAATATGTAGTTGTGATATATGATTTCCAAACGGGAATAGCTAATCGGTCTATTTTAGCCAAGAAACATTGTTTTATAGCTTAATTAATATCTTGACCTTGAGAGGGAGCTATACAACATATAGAGTTTATTATTTACAATTTCATAAATTTAGGCTCGATTTCAATCGCAACAACGATTACTGAATATTGTAAGATCACATATGCTTCCAATATGTTCATTTGAACCAAATTCATGACCCTATACCAAAACTCCATTACCTTTAAGTGTATTGTATACATGTAATGTACATGTAATGATAATGTAAGAGACTCAAAGTGAATGATTGTAAGTTTTTGGTACTGTCATGAAATAATTTCTTTTCAGAAAAAACGGTTGATTTTGTGAAAATAATATAAATTGTAGAAGATTTCCACATATGCAAGCATTGAAATGAATATATCTGTCTTCATATTGCCTCATAAGTAACATGAATCATTTTAGATTTAGATTGGGAGTTTATCGAATATTTATGTGTAGCTTTTTGAGAAATGTAATGTGAAACTAATACAGCAATGTTGAATTTTCCCCCAAACTCATACTTTATCAAACTGTTTACAGTACTTCACAGGACCTTACTCTATGTTTGGTTCAGCTTGTTTCATTAAGGTTTGTAATCATTTATACCAATTTAGTGCCGTCGCACCCTCAAAATATTGAGGCATCATGCATTTAGATTACAGAGAAAATATTCGCCTGTGAGCAATGCAATTGAAATACACTGTGATGTGCCTTATTGTTATTCTTCTAACTCTGTGTACTGGGTCACTGTATTGCAGCTTCATCGTCTGAGTGTATGTGTTAAGCCTCATGGCTCCTACAGACCGATGGAGCCCAAGAAATCGCCCATAGTCCTCTTAAAGAAACAGGACTATCCCCATATACCAGCCTTTCAGCTGGCTGGGGTGGGTAGTATCTATGTTCCGCAGGTATTTTGACAACTCCTTTGGTTGGTATATATATTGGTGGCCTGTTGTCCCCAATGGTCCAACACCGTAACAAAATTGATTATTACCATTTTGTCCAGCAAAGTCTACATTCAGTGCTCTCTTTATTTTTTAATTTATAAAATTACATAACTACAAACTCTTCAAGGTACTACACTAGTATGTGGAAGATATTAATAGTACACATTTATGTGTATAATGTTAAATTGAATATAAATCTGTTTGGATATCTGAGGGAATAAAATGATGATTGTTGCAAAACAAATTAAAAAAACCCATAATATTTGATTTTTGTAGGTGTTGGTTCCATTTATTATTGATACATGGCTATTTGCTTGCTCATATCCAGTCATACCACATTTGTATCCCTAACTGTGCATATGCTTTTCTTTTGAAAATGCTAAGATTGATTGTTAAATAATATAAGGCCAAATGTTTCTGTTTCTTCCTTCAAATTCCTGTCTACACAATAAGAAAACTATTTTCTTGACTGTTACACATAGTCACATACCATGCCTTTGAAACAAGAAGAAATAAAAGCAGCAATATGTTTATTTAAAAATGTATTCAGAATTAAAGGAGAAGTCCACCCTGATATCAAGTTGGCTTTAATAAAAGCAGAAAAATTAGTGAAAGTTTGAGCAATAGTAGATTAGAAATAGGAAAGTTATGAATTATGGAAGTTGTCATTAGTGAAACACAAATTGGCAACACTGTGATTTATCTTGCAAGCTCCTCTCCAATTTGCTCTGAACAGAACATTTCATAAACTTTAATTTTCTTGGTTATTGATGACAAAATAGATTGTTTCTTACATTGGTGGTATAAAAACATACTTGGATCAAATATATTTAATGTGAATATATGATTGAAATTGTTTAAAGGAAAACTATACAAGTACAGGGCAAATCGGAGGGGATCTCACAATATAGGTCACAGATTTGCCAATTTGTGTTTGATCATAACAAATTCATAACTGTCATATATTATTGGTTTTTGCTGAAATTTACACTGACCTTTTTCTCTCATTTTCTGCTTCTAACAATCAACTTAATATCAGGGTGGACTTCCCCTTTAACCATGTTTAATGATCTTATTTTGCAATTCTTGTCAATTTTTATTAATATTGTTCCCCATGTGATTCGAGCTATTTACATTTCTAAGCTTACCCTTTTTCAAACGGGAAACTAGTTTTACTAACACAAAGTGGATATTTGTTATAATAGGGAGGATTAGATTTATTTGTAAAATAATTTGTATTGGAAACAAAATGAAAAAGGCATCTTGTACATTATAACAAAATATACAGAAATCTAGCAGCAAGTACAATATCTTTTTCTTAGGCATTGCATCCAGTTTGAAAAGTGTTGCCCACATTTTGTAACAGTTGGAGTAAATAGATGTGTCTCCATGGTTTGTGTTATGTTAGCACATATTTGCACAATCATTATCATTGATGTCAAAGACTATGTGTCATTTGTAAATACATTTGAAGTTAAACATATTTTTAATTCAAAAACTTTGCTGTTTATTCCAAGTAACTTGACCATTGGATATGTGAGTTGGAGGATGCCTCTTGAATCTTGCAGCTCTTTGAATGGTTGAGTTCTAATGAGAATATGCTTTTGTTAAGCAGTTTGTGTGTCAGTTACATGAAAGACCTCACACTACTTTAGCCAAGCTGAGAGTGTATTCTTAAAGGCTCACATCCACTTCTTCCAGCCCTCCCCCTATAAATTTGTTTTTAAAAAAACTCCTGCTCCATAATAAATGTCATTGTCTGTGAAAATGTAACGGAGGTGAATACAAATTTTAGATAGTACCATATGTCATATAATGATACAAATTTCATCTACATTTATATGTGTATGTGCCACAAAATGTCAATATCTCTATTCTTTTCATACTTGCAGCAGTATATTCTAAAGGTGGAGTTACAAGGAAAAAAATGATGTATTGAAACTGCTTGAAAATTGGTGTGCAGATCCCATTCAGTGAACAAAGTGTTTAAGCTATGCAAAGTTTCATGGTGCAGTAATTTTATCATTCAAAGATGTTTTTTTCCCCAAATCATTTTATTACATTTCTGTCATTTGTCCTTATTCAACCAAGTCGTATTCCCTCTTGTAAACTGTCATCCCGTTGTATCTTTTGAGCTGGGAAATAATATTTGTTTGCTTTGGTTTGGTTTTTGCATGTTATGTCTCTTTGCATGAAACCTTTCTAAATTGTGTCACTTTTGTAATACATTTAAATTAATTTTAAGGCTTTTTTTTGGAGAAAAAATAATGCGAGTCTCTATTTTTTTGAGTAAAAATGGGACTAAAAATCAATATTAACAAGCTTACACCCTCCTTTCATTTGCTTATGTGGGTTAGTAGCGGAAACCTCACATACCTCCTATGTATGGGAAAACTAGAATTTGAACACTTCTCCAATATCTTGATGGTAACAAGAGGAGTCAGTGGACATCAAGATTGGTAATGATGCTTTAAGAGACTTCAATGAACTGATATTAACAAGCTCCCTCCCTCCTATCATCTGCATGTTTGGGTTCTTACTGGGAAACTTACTTACCCCTTTATATAGACTAGATTATAAACACTTCTCCAATGTGTTCATGTTGACAGGAGGAGGAGGCAGGAGGAGCCAGTGAGATAGGTGATGATGCTGCTATGGAGGAGGAGGAGAATGGGGCTCCTACAGGACCGCTAGAGGAAAGTGGATACATAGTAGATGATCCTAATGATCCGGGTGAGATCCTCTTCACTGCCGTGATGGGACACAGAGACGTGACTGGGCGCATCGTCAGTCTCATGTTTCGCAAGTTACCAAGGCAGCAGGAGTTCCCTGCCTATTATGAGATCATTGACAACCCTATCGATCTCTGTGATATTGCTATCAAGATCAAGGTAATTAAGACTCAAAATTGAGAAATCAGATTTCATGGAAACCTCTATATTATGTCATAATTTGATTTATATTTGTAAATTTTAAACACTTTATGAATAATCAATGGAAAATGAATCACACTTTACTGTATTGATCAATTGTACAAGTATGTTTTTCATTTTGAGACAGCAAATTTTTCATTTTATTTTACCTCTTTATAGTTCAGTTTCGGTTATAACATTGTTTTTGTCCTAACTAACAACTAATTTATCAAATTCAAACGATACAACACTTTAATTTGATAGATAAATTATACCTTTATATGGGGTGTTCCAGCAATTTCCATAATGACATTTGCTCCAAACTTTTTATTTTGTAAAAGGTAAAGGGTCAGGGTAAGGATTTTTAAGGTTTATGGTTTGAGTTAGGGATATATATTATGTTTGGTACAGGGTTGAAGTGGAGAATTCAAGTAAATTAGGATATTACTTGTAGAGCAGTTGCCACTAGAACATGTGTTGTACAATCTTATATTCCTATGCATTGTCTTTCTATTGCAGAACAAGAAATATGACCGTCTGTCTGATTTGGACAAGGATCTGTGTCTGATGGTTAAGAATGCCAAACAGTTCAATGAACCAGGCTCTCAGATCTATAAAGATGCTGTTACACTGAAGAAGGTCATGACTGCTAAGAAAGCAGAGTTGGAGAGACAGGGCAAGGAAGTCCGTGGGGTTGCTCCAAGACAGAGGTAAGAATCCTTTAAGAATCATTTAATCAGCCCGATCTACATATGCCACCAGAAATAGACCCAACATAAGTGCAGTGCCCTTTATAATTCTTTATGCTGTATTTTGTATGCAGCTATTTTGTCACCTCACTTGATATTTATTTACACACAAAATGGTTTTATTTTGTCATAGAGGTTTTTATTTTGTTAGAGAATTTAACCATTTTTGATGTGTGGGCAAACGCTTTATTCTGCTTGATTTCACTCACTACAAGTAAATAGTTTAATTTGTGATTTATCGGTCAATTATTTCTGATGTTTAATACTACTTTTTGATTGTGGATTGTTAGTTGGGCAAAGCATTAGAGCCTGATATTGTGTTCAATTTATTTCTTCCCCTTATACTCCTAATTCTTCATTCGTTATTCATCTATTTTCTTGTCCATCAGGCGTCCATCAGCTAATGGCCAGTCTGCCATCACCGAAGCCCTTAACCTTGCTGGTTACTCAGGAGAAGACAGTAAACATCCAAGCTTTGGCCTTCCCCCTCCCCTACCTCCCCCAATCCATCCCCTCTCGGTCACTTCATCCACCTCAACTGCCCGAGGTCCAGACGTACCATCATCTACCGATGGTGATGACAATGACGAGGATGATGAGAGTTTCTCTGCTGACACTGCTGATAGTCCTGACCCTCTTCACATACTCTTTAACTTTGTGCTGAATTTCCGGAACAATCTAGGACAGTTGCTATCTGAGCCCTTCATGAGATTGCCTAACAGCAGAATCTATCCCGACTACTATAGAGAGATCAAGAAACCCATTGCACTCACAAAAATCAGATCAAAACTCAAGGTAAGACTATTATAATTGAATGGTTCATATTTTTGTGTTTTCTTAGGTGTTTTATTAATGAGGGGTGGGGTGGTCTTATAGCTCATCTGTTCAGAAATTATGGAGCACTTACACTATTGCATAATAAAAAAATATTTTAAAAAAGTACTTTAATTTAAAAGGAAAACAAAAATATATAAACAACCCCACTGTATCGTTGTATTTCATGAGAATATTGGAACATTGTTGGTGTTAAATACGTGTACAAGTAAAGTTATATTTATTGAAAACCTTCATGGTGTCAGATAAGGTTTGCCAAGTCGTTTTTTAGACACCTTGTTAGTTTTAATTTTAACCCATTAAATAATACAGTCTGGAAAAAAATTCTGCAATTGTTATGACAAGTCTGTGCGACTCTGTAACATATAAACTATAGTAGCATAGTTTCAACTTGCTCCTTTCTTTCACTCTTCTAAACCATCTTCCAGAACAACAAATACAAGAGCCTTGAAGAACTTGGGACTGACTTGGAGCTGATGTTTCAGAATGCCTACCATTACAACATGCCCACCTCCCAGCTGCACAAGGATGCTGAGAAGCTACATAAAGCCATGCAGCACAAGAGAAGAGAAGTGGAAAAGCTAGAGGGTATTAAATCACCACCTCCACCTACACCTCCACCACCTCCTCCCCCACCTCATCCTCCACAAGAAGAAGATGTACCTTCAGTATCACCTATCTTGAAGGTAAATAGTCAGAGATGCCAGTTTTCAGGCAAAAGCCTCAATTCAGGCCCAGGGGAGTTATTTTCAGGCCATAGTTTAGGCTTTTTTGTCTACAGGCCCTCTGATCATTTCTAACTGGCATTCCTGAATAGTGCTACACCATTAGACAGGGAAATCATTTAGGACTCTTAAGGAACAGTGAAGTACAAAACGGGCTATAAAGGCATGAACAGTGAAGTACAAAACGGGCTATAAAGGCATGAACAATGAAGTACAAAACAGGCTATAAAGGCATGAACAATGAAAATGCAAACACAAAATTCATAAATAAATCTCTTTCATTTTAGGGGATTTGATTAATTATTCCCTCCGTCTAGTGAAAAAAAAATATACATGAGAATAGTGAGTGATTTAGTTGTGGAAATTTTAGACACTTCGTCAAATTAAAAAAACATTGTTTTATGAAGATTGTGAGAAGGAAATTGTACTGCCTCAGACAGTACTCAAAGGGAACAGTATCTTCGCTTTCATATCAAATTTGACATTCCTGAAATTAATTTCTGCAGTATTATGTATTGATATAAAAGGTTTCAACTATGAAGGATAATGCTAAAAAAAAACAATGATCCTTTTATGTGAAATGTGACTGAACATTGGTGTATCAAAATTTAAGTTCTGTATAGATTTAGATGTACCTTACTGTAACCAAGGCATTGATTTGTATACAATTTTCATACACAGAAGGAGCATGAGAGTGAGGATGAAGGGAGCGAAAAAGGAGGAAGAAGACGAAGGAGTGGAGTACCACTCTGGAAGATGAGACGATCAGATGCTGAAGCCACTCAGAAATCAAAGCTCATGGCCCTCTATCTTTCTCTGGTGCATTACAAGGTATGGAGTCACTAATGTAGAGTTGCTTGTTTTAGCATGCAGTTCAGTAGTTATATAAATCTTTAAGTGCCATATTTTTTTGTTCGCTGGTGTGCCAAGTTCCTTTATTTGCACAGACAATAAGCAATAATGAAGAGCAGGATCACCCAGTAACTTTTATTATATCCCAGTGTTTGTTGGATACAAGGCTGCTCTTTTATCCTTTCTCTGAGATAGCATCACAAACAGTTTTTAATATTTTGCTAAAGCTGCCCCGTGGTACAAGAAGCTTCCTTTGAATAGCAGGTAAAGAGTTGCATTGGATTGACATATCTCTGTCTGGGTATGACGCAATTCTCATTATATTACTTGTAGCCTTCACTGTTGAAAGGGGTATGTCATGAATGCTATTTTGTGCATGTTTTCTGTATAGGAGGAGTCAGGACGTAGCCCCATCACTCTCTTCATGGAGAAGCCATCAAAGAAGGAGTATCCAGACTACTATCACATCATTACAGAACCAATCGATATGAAGACTATTGAAACAAACATTAAGAATGAAAAGGTTAGTAGAATCTTAGGATAAAGGATTGTTATTTACTGTAGTGTGGGAAGGTTAGCCAATGTGATGGGCATTATAATGGTGAGGGTGATTGTGATTGTGTTTGTATCACATAGTACATTAATGAGATTGGGGAGTATCCAATGGATTGAAAATCAGAATCAATAGTGGGATACCAAAGGATGACAATTTTTGGTGGTAAGGTGGTACCTAGTCAAATATTGTGCAGGCAAAAATCTCCTGCAACTTTTAATGTTAGGTGTTTGAAACTACTCGGACACCAATTTATTATTCCTTGCTCTCTATCACTTTCTCTCTCTTGACAGTACCAAACAGAGGAAGGCGTGATGAAGGACTTTTCCTTGATGTTTGACAACGCTCGTCACTACAACGAGGAAGGCTCCATGGTGTACGAGGATGCCAATCTACTGGAGGCTCTCCTGAAAGACAAATGTAATGAAATTAATCTGTCGTCAGGGCCAAGTAAAGAGAGAAGTTCACTGGCATGCAAACCAGTGATTTCTGCTCGTTACCTAGTCCTGCAATGAGAGTCCATGCATTCTTTCACTCCTTCTATTTATCTCAAGATCAGACCCTGACAATTCTGTGAGGACTCTAGTTTGGTTCCCACAAGGGCAAATACCAGCATAAAAGTTCATGGTGTTTATCTCTTGTTTTTCTGAAACATAGCAGGCTATTTAAGTTTTGGCACTGAACACTTTTTGATAAAACTTAGAATCTACATCTTCTAAAATGTAACAACATACCCCAACTGAATAACAGCAGGATTAGCAAACATGGAACAATGATTTTGCATATGTTTTCAGTGAAATTTATTGAAGTCATATACCCAAATTATTGCATCCTTTTTTTTATCACCTGGAACTTATTATTGGAACAAACATTGCACTACATGTACGTGCAAAAATATGCTAGTCAGTCTTTTTATTTCAAAAGCTATTAGTTTTAGTATGTATTTTCTGGAGCCCCCCTTCCCTGATATAAAATGATATAAAATTAAATAATATAGATGACATTTAAATACCATGATATCCTTTCTCTCCATTTTGCTTGACAGTCGATGGTGGTCGTGGTACGCCGAAATCAATCGGTCAGAAGAGAACCCCAGTGAAACGATCTCCAGCTAAGACATTGAGTCCTCTTGCTCAGAAGCTGAATGAGCTTTATAATGCTATCAAGAACTACACTGATCAACATGGACGGGAACTATCACCCCCATTCATTAGACTACCATCAAAAAATGTAAGTAACATTAACATTAGTTGTATGTGTGGAATTAGAAGATTCCAGGCTCATTTTGAAATTTGATGTATCTTTTGTTTGATTATGGATAATGTTTAGTGATTATTTGCTATTATTCACATGTGATTATTCGCATGCAATGTTTATTTGATTTTACATTATAGACCTTTATATCCTGCAACTAAAAACTCTCACATGCATGCAAGGCTTGCCCATTTTGGGAGATAACTGAGTGACAACTGACAAAACAATAGTTTTGCAGTTTGTAAAAGTTTCTTGCCATGAAAATTACTGTTCACCATTCATGAACATTTCTTGTTGTGAGATGTCTTGTTGTAAGATGTCTTACAGATATAGATGGTACATCCTCTCTCTAGGAGTATCTAAAGTACCTTCAGATATTCAGGCATCCCATAAACCTGCAATAGAAGATCTTCTTTTTTTTAATAGAAAAGTAGTTAATTGTGAGAGTGTGTTCACTCATTCCATTAAAAGAGGAATACATGTTGATTCTTAAAGTGTTATATCCATGTCAGTTTTATTTGATTCAATAATGAAGATGAAAATGATTTATCCCTTCCTATACAGGAGTATCCTGAATATTACCAGGTTATCAAGCGTCCTATGGACATGCAGCGTATTCAACAGAAGATTATATCTCGAGGCTATGATCAACTGGAAGACATGGTCAATGATTTCCTACTCATGTTTGATAATGCATGCAAGTTCAATGAACCAGACTCACTCATTTACAAGGTATGCACAAGGTCTTCACCAAGTCTGTCTGGTGTCAGCTATTTAACATATATTTTCTTCAGTCTGTATCAAAATGGAACAATAGACTTGTCACTTTTCCTCTTGTTTTGAATTTATTCATGTATTTACATGATGGAAGCAATACACAATTTTCAGAATAGATTAGTACAGGTACAATTTAAAAAGAATGTAAAATATGACGATTTAAATTGTCTGGATTTGCATTTCTCTATATAATTGCAGTCTCTCCCTGTGAGTCCATAGTTTATTGGGCACTGAATTTTTGTCAGTGGACTATTGTATGGATAAAATCTAAATAAATCAGAATTATGACAAGTCTTTTATTCAAGTATGTGCAGAGCTGGCTGCGTATGCAATTAGCATTGGAGAAACATATTCCCAGCAACAAGCGTTAATTCCATACAATTTCATTTTGTTATGACAGTCAACATATCTTTCACTAACATAAAGCACAGTTTTCAGAATACCGCCCCTGAATGCATTCTATGTGTATGCATGTGATTAAAACTTTTTATTGTTGCATTGCCAACTCATATTTGTACCTCTATTTCAAAGTTCAGCTTTAAGTCTTTCAGTCATTTCTTGCTTCCATTGTAGGATGCCCTGACTCTTCAGCGCATCCTCCTCCAAACCAAGACGGAGCTGATGGGAGATGAGACCTCTGGAGTACCTGACATCCAGGGATTGGTGCGAGAAATCATCACCAGTCTCTTTGTATCTGTAGCCAATCACCAGGATGAGGAGGGGCGTTGCTATAGTGACTCGCTGGCTGAGATACCGGTGGATAAGGATGCCATGATGGATGATCCAAACTTACAAAAGTAAGCATGGTTAATAGTTTTAAATTAAAAACAACTATGGTGATGTTTAAGTTCACTACTACCCTTTGACTATTTAAGTGACAAAAAGGCCTCCCATCTCTTGATTTCATAATTTATGCATTTACTTTCAGTTTACTGTAGAAATTGTTTTGTTCACACATGTGTTTTGCAGATGTTAATAAACAGAAGCATCTAAAGTATTTCAATAGCAGATGAAATTATAGATGCAGGTATGGTAGTAACTGCAGTTTCATTATAACAACGATAATTGATTTTGATTGTTATTAAGAATGATTTAGTTTCAGGGACAATCTTCAAAGAAATTAAAGAGAAAATGCTCTGAATTTTTTGAAGCCATCACTAATGATAAAGCATCTACAATGAAAATAAAACTTGTGATTGAATGTGCTGGTTCATCTATCCAAGAAGGAAAGGACAACTCAAATTTACTATCATCATTTATCCTTTCATTGTATATCCAGAAAACCTCTTGATCTGGATACTATTCGTCGCTACCTTGACCGTGGTTGCTACCGGCGACTGGATTGCTTCCAAGATCACATCTTCTTTGTTCTAGAAAGGGCTAGACAACTCAGCAGAACTGACTCACAGGTACGCTTCATTTGAATACATAACTCTATAAGATAATGAATAGCTAAGTCTCAGAGAGGTTTTTAGGACCCCAAAATCCGAAATATTCCAGATTTTCAAAATTTTGATTTTTTTTTTTTTTTTTTTTTTTTTTTTTTTTTTTTTTTTTTTTTTTTTTTAAATAATTTTTTTGTTTAAATAATTGTTTTAATAAGCCCAATTAAGCTTGTTTTATCATATGCCGCGATGTGAGAGTTCACGTATTGCGTGCGTTGAAGGGCTGCATGAGTGAGCAGCGAATTTGTATTCGCTTTTTTGCACAGATTTACCGCGTATTGCCAGTTACACTGCCGCTGCATGTGCGAACGCCTGTTAAGGGTTCAGATTTCTTATTTTCGAAGACATACTGTGCTAAAAATTCTTAATTCTTGGCAGGTATGTTATAGGTTGTATGACCTATTCTTCAATGACATTGTTTTGCAGTCAATTGACCCAACACAATACCTGACCCTAACCCTAGCCCCAAATCTGACCAAAAACGTAACTGCAACCCAACCTTGACTATTACTAATCAATAACAAAGTACACATATATTGGTTTTAGGTTGAGGTTCATACAATCAACTTGTTTTCTGTTCTAGGTCTATGAAGACTCTATTGAAATGCAACGTTTCTTCATCCAAATTCGAGATGAGATCTGTAAGAATGGTGAGATACTTCTTTCTCCTGCCCTCAGCTACACACATCGTCATCTACAGAATGCATTAGATGTACAGAAGAGAGAAAAGATTCCTAAAGAGGTGAGAAAGAGATCTTACCAAAAATATCCTTCTGCTTGCACCATCATTACTTGTTCAATTCATTGAGATAAGGACTTGTAGAATGGCAAATAAGCTATCCAAGATTGAGAAAAAGGAGTAATATTTCTGTTACAAATTTGCTCTAGATGAACACTGATGGTACAATCAAAGTGATTTTGTTACTTTGTATTCTGATACGCTCAAAAGATGAATGAAATGTATCAAAGAAAAATAAGATCTTAGAATGAAAAGTATGTGCATGTGAATGTATACTTAATTAAGTCACAGAAGCAGGCTTAGAGATAGATAATGGTAGGCTGATAGTTGTTATTCTACTTATTATCTTATGTCATTATTTTAACTTATTTATACAGGAAAAATAATTATGTGTGCTTATAGGTGGGTTGGCGGGAGATCATGGAACAATAGAGAAACAGATGGAACATTGCCCAGCAATTCATCCATTAAATACCAGTTATTTGCATAAATATTGTTAATGTTTGAAACAGAATTTGAAATCTGATTAATATCTGTCGGTAATATTTCAGATGAAAGAGGATAGTGAGAAGAAAGAAGAAGATGAATCTAAGAAGGATATGAGTATGGAAGAACATCCTGAAGTTAAACCAGAGGGACATAAAGAAGATAATGTAAGAAATATTGAATCAACTTTTTGTACTTAAGAGGTAGAGGTGTTATGGTCTAGTGGATAAATCGTTGTACTGTGGATCACAAGGTCCGTGGTTCGAGTCCCGCCACGGCACTAATGTCTTTTGGCAAGATATTAATCTACATTTGCCACTCTCCACCCAGGTGTTAAATGGGTACTGGTAGGAAGGAATTCCTTGAATCCTGAGAGCGCCAAAATCGGCTGCCTAGCAGAGCTGGGTAATAGTTGGAGCGCCTTGAGCACCATGCTTGGTGGATATGTGCGCTAAAAAAATATCCAATATTATTATTACTAGAATCAATTTATTTCTATTGATTTAGATAATTTGTGGTAAAGAAAAAGACAATTTTTTTTGTTATTTACTGTTAATCCTAATAATGGAAATAAAGTAATGCCATGGTTATTATTATCTCCTTATATTTAGTAACATGTTATTAAGTCCTACATATATATATATATATATATGTTGATTATAGATTTATTAAATGTTAACACTTTGTTTATTTTATACACCTTTTTTCTGCTGTCTACCCATTAGTTTCAATTGAAATGAAAAGGGGATTGCATACAAATAAATATGTTGTAACAATAAAGGTGTTTCCTTGTACTTTTCAAGTGTGCTACAACATGAATTTGTTGACATGTTTGTCCTGCCCTTGTGTCGTCTTTAGGAGAATGATGATGGACTTATCGTAAATGGAGTCACTTATAGAGTCGGGGACTTTGTCTATGTCGAACCCAGGTGAGTCAAAAATATTGATTTTATGTACTGTCAACCATCATTTTTCATTATACGAAACAATTAAAGTTTGCTTATTAAGACAAAATTAACAGTTACATTTTGCGATGTAAAATTGGAATAAAAGCATTCATAAGAATAAATAAAAAATTATAATAGAAATAAAAGACTTAGTAAGGCACAAAATATTTAAGTACAACATATTTGAGTACAAAAGACATGAATTTAATGAGTATTTAATTAAGTATGAGCAATCACTAACTTTTGTCTTTTCAGTGAGAAGCAGCTGAAGAATCACATAGTATGTATTGAGAAGCTATGGAGAGATGCTGATGGAGAGACATTGCTACATGGTAACTGGTTCCTAAGACCAAATGAGACATTTCATCTTGCAACAAGGAAGTTCTTAGAAATGGTAAGACTTGACATTATTGTACATATATCCTGTGATGGGAATATATATAATTTATATGAGCTTTGAAGGCATGCAGGAATTAATGAATAATGATGGTACTGATGCACTGTAAATTTTTTTTGTTATGTAAGGTATCTATTGCTCTCTACAATGTAAGTTCCAGCAAACAATATATCCTACTTAAAAATTCCAGTGAAGGATTGGCCAAGTATAGCTCATATGACATAAATACTTCCACCCTGAAGTGAAATACATATATATATTTATTTTATCTCTCTACAAATTGAATTAATTATCATTCATACTGCTAGTTGTAAAAATGTGTACCATACATGATACTGACTTCTGGATTTGGATATGGAATGGAAGTGATGTTTGCAGTATTGGTTGTAATAAATGTATATGCTTTTCTGTACTCTGACACTGCAGGAAGTTTTCAAGAGTGACTACTACAACAAAGTGAAGATTTCACAACATGTGTTGGGCAAATGCTTTGTGATGTTTGTCAAAGATTACTTCAAGCATAAACCAGAGGGCTTTGAAGAAGAAGATGTGTTTGTTTGTGAGTCCCGCTACTCAGCCAAGGCAAAGGCATTCAAGAAAATCAAGGTAGAATTTATGTGTTATTTATGTTAATTGAACAATTTCAGCCCTTGGGTTGTTTGTATAATGTTTAGTGTATATTTTTGGACATTAAACTGATACAATTACAAAAACTGTATGTTTCATTCTTTCCAATATCATTTTGTTTGATAAAGAAGTATAAGAGATGAGGCAAAAATAGTCAATTTTGACTGAACTGCCTTAAATCTAATCCCCCCCCCCCAAAAAAAAAAAGAGTGTTACCTAAAAATATATATATATTTATGTCTTCAAGAATAATATTTCAAAAATATATCTGCCTATTTTCATGTATGATTTTTTTTTTTTTAATTCCTATATAATCGTTATGCTTATTGTCAATTTTATATATCTCCAGTACCTTGCATTTTTGCTAATGAAACAAATTACAAAATGCCTCTGCCAAATCATTTATATATGATTCTTTACAAAAACAAATCATAGGTTCATTTTTTGTAAATATGCAATAAAACGTACTACAGGTATATATTCTAAATGTTTAAGTTATCACAATGACAATTTCCTTTATCAAAATATCCTATCTTTACCTCTTTACATAGATCTGGGCAGTGCCTCCAAGCTCCACTAAGATCACCAACAGGGAGGAGCCTTTATCCAAAGTGAGGGTGGAATCAGTGTTTGCTGGCTCACCACCAAACAAATCCCACGATGCTTTCAGCGCATCGGAGAATCTACCAGCATTTGACAAGGAGAGAGAGGTAGAGAACCCTTGAGAATATATGATCATTCACCACAAAACCAAAAGAAAGTCACACAGTGTGATTTTCAGTTAGAGCTCAATACAGGTGTATTTGGTCAGCATGGTTAAATTTTAGTTTTCACCATTTCCTGAAAGAGGATACTCTCTTCTCTGTAATTTCAAACAATCTTTAAAACTAGATGGAATTTTGACTGCGCGCAGTCGAAAATGATGCCTCCGCCATAGAGCAATTTAAACAAGTTTGGAGTTTAAATCTCCAGTGGTTCTTGAGATATCATGATAACAATCTCAATGTATGGAATTTCATAAGTTGACCTCTGACCCTTGACCTTTGACCTACGAGCTCCAAAATCTAATCAGATTGTCTTCTTATGGTGATACACACTATCATTAAGTTTGAAGTTTAAATCTCCAGTGGTTCTTGAGATATTATGATATGGTGATACATACTATCATTAAGTTTGAAGTAAAAATTCTCCAGTGGTTCTTGAGATATCGCGATAACGATCTCAATGTATGGAATTTCATAAGTTGACCTCTTTGACCCTTGACCTTTGACCTACGTGCTCCAAAATCTAATCAGATTGTCTTCCTATGGTGATACTCACTATCATTAAGTTTGAAGTTTAAATCTCCAGTGGTTCTTGAGATATTATGATAACAATCTCAATGTATGGAATTTCATAAGTTGACCTCTGTGACCCTTGACCTTTGACCTACGTGCTCCAAAATCTAATCAGATCGTCTTCCTATGGTGATACATACTATCCTTAAGTTTGAAGTTTTTACATCTCCAGTGGTTCTTGAGATATCATGATAACAATCTCAATGTATGGAATTTCATAAGTTGACCTCTATGACCCTTGACCTTTGACCTACGTGCTCCAAAATGTAATCAGATTGTTTTCCTATAGTGATACACACTATCACTAAGTTTGAAGTTTAAATCTCCAGTGGTTCTTGAGATATCATGATAACAATCTCAATGTATGGAATTTCATAAGTTGACCTCTGTGACCCTTGACCTTTGACATACGTGCTCCAAAATCTAATCAGATCGTCTTCCTATGGTGATACATACTATCCTTAAGTTTGAAGTTTAAATCTCAAATGGTTCTTGAGATATCGCGCTAACAAACTCAATACAAGGAATTTCATAAGTTGACCTCTGTGACCCTTGACCTTTGACCTACGTGCTCCAAAATCTAATCAGATCGTCTTCCTATACTTCCTATAAATACTATTCCCGAGTCTTAAGTTTAAATCTTAAATGGTTCTTGAGATATTGTGATAACGGTCAAACGGGACGGACGTACGGACGGACAACCCGAAAACATGATGCCTCCGGCACCACCTTCGGTGGCGGAGGCATAAAAAGATATTTTGGCTGTGTTTTGTAGATATACATTTGTCCAAATCTTGAGTTTCATGCAGTAGTTTTAATTTCTTTACAACCCTGACTACTGGTTCATTTTTATCTCCTTTACTTTAAAACACAGGAAGTTATTGCATTGGTACCTGGACGAAAAAAGAACAGGATGTGCTTAATTAATCTGTTAGGAACATCCAATTGTTGATAAGAAATCATTTAAAGCTGAGAATCCCTCTTCTAGAATCAGAAACATTTTTTTTTTTTTTTTTTTTTGGGGGGGGGGGGACGTTTTTGTGGTGCCTGGTCACAGATATGTTGTTAATAACGTTCACTAGGCTGTCTACAATTCTTTCAGAGCATTTCACAATATTATCTTGACATTTGATAGGGATAAAATGAGGTCCTTCCTTATTAAAGATTTCATCCAAATCCAGATGTGCATATGTCAAAATGTATTTGCTCAAATCCAAGAAATCTATCTACAGTTTTTGCCTTTGTGAGGCCTCGTTCAGATATAAAATGTTTTTTGTTGTTGTAATGATCACATAAAGTGTGCTCAGGATTTTGTCTGTATCTCATAACACAGAGCTCGGTTGTCATACATTTACGACAAAAATACTGAGCCCTTTTTTTTCTCCACGGGTTCACAGCGGTTTACCTTGTCATATCTGAACGAGCATTACCAGTTGATGATTCGTTAACAGTACATAGAATCGTCTTAGTTGTTGTTATTTCTCCAGTCAAACTCGCTGCTTTTCATATGTCATCGAATGGCTGTTATATACAGGTCTCACTTTATCATAAAATTAGTCAGCTGAATCAACACATTATAATGTTACTCTTACTGTTATTTGTTTTCATCATGCACAGGATGTTCTGCAAGAAGGTGCTGGTGATGGAGGTTTGGTTTATTATGAGCAGGTGTGTTGGAATGGTGTGTTCTATAAGCTAGGAGATGCAGTCTACATCAAGACTATCAAGGGCAGACCTCATATCTGTAGGATGGACAAGATATGGAAGATTGGAACGTAAGCAATCAGTTCATCTATGACATTTGAAAGTAATGAGCATACAAGAACAGTTGAAGCAAATATAGATGATTCGTGCTATAATGACGAGTTTCAAATTGGAGAAAATGGAGTATGGTCTTGTTCTTCATTGTGATTCTGACAACTTCTTACAAGTTATATACTTAAAATTCAATGAACAATAGACAAGGTGTAGATACAAGTGGGAAAAATATTGATATGGTAATGCCATCAACTTAGTGTCTGAAGACAACCACTAGGGTTTTCTTTTTTTCAATAGCAGTCTAGATGGTACATATTTCTTTCTTCTGGTAATATCTCGTAATGGTCTTTGGAAGAAAATAAACTTGGCGCTCTTTATATTTGTGAGTGTAGTGCTTCATATACCTAGTTATCAAACTGCACATGTCAACAAATTGATGTGGGGGTAGGGGGCAACTTACCATGTTACCAATCTATATCTTTCTGTTTCCTAATGTCTCCTAATGCACCTCTTCCTGCTAATCATCCTTTCTGCATCCTCCTCTGCTCTCACAGTGGTGAGACATTCTTCTTTGGACCAGTGTTTATCCACCCATCCGAGACGGTGCATCCACCTACCAAGATGTTCTACCAGAATGAAGTGTTCCTCAGCTGTGTGGAAGAGTCCTATGGTATGGTGCATATACTGGGAAAGTGCTCTCTCATGCTCTTCAAGGATTACATCAGTAGTGAGTAACAACTTTTTTAATTTTTTTTTATTTATATGTGTAGTGAGTAACAACTTTGCATTTACTTTCATTTCTCTTTAAATTGATTTACCTGCCCCTTGGATAAAAGTAAGTTTATAAGAAAATATTAAATGAAATTGAAAACACTGATAATACCATCTTCTTATGTCTGAGGAAACTTATACATATTTGTTTCTTCTTCAATTACAGCTCTCCTTACTAGGGAGCATTGCTTTGTTATTAATTATTATTAATACAACTATCGTGACTTGGTTGAGATTTGATGCTTCTTTCCCTTTAAATGGACAAGAATTACAGCTTGATATTTTACCTTTATATGATCTTGTTCATCTTGTCATATATTCTTAGCTATTAGTCATATTTAAATTATTGCTCAGTGATGTAAAGTAATTATATGGATCAGTGGAAAATCTAGTATCTTCTGTTCCTTTTTTTTCAGATCGGCCAACCGAGTTCGCTGAGAAGCATGTGTATGTGTGCGAATCCCAGTACAAAGATATGGATCAGTCCACACGTAAGGTCAAAGGTCTCAAGCGACATAATGTCTCTAACAAGGTGATTGACGATGAGATCTACTTCTTCAAGAAACCCATCACTCCCGTCAAGGAGCCTTCTCCCCTCCTGCAGGAGCAGCTTGAAGAGGAGGAGGAAGAAGATGAGGAAGAAGAGGAAGATGGAGAAGAGATAGAGAGTGAAGAGAAGGAGGAGGAAGAAGAGATGGAGATGGAGATCAGTTTGGAGCTGGAGGAAGAGGATTCTCAGAAAGCTGAAGAGGAAGCCATGTTGCTTCGTATAGCAGAGCAGTTTGGTGATATGGATGATTCAGCTTCAGTTGCTTCTAGTGTATCCACTCCAAAGAGCAGCAGAAAGAAAGGAGAAGATGTAGGTTCTGTGTAAAACTAGCCTAGTATTGTGGCTTAGCCTTTCTCTTAGAATGGACAGGACTACACGGTAACCTACAGGATACAAAAATCTACATTTTGTCGTATTTTTATGCCTCCGTTACGAAGTAGCCGGAGGCATTGTGTTTTCAGGTTGTCCATCCGTACGTACGTACATCTGTACGTACGTCTGTATGTACGTCTGTACGTACATCTGTATGTACATCTGTACGTACGTCCCGTTCTCGTGATCGCGTTATCTGAAGAACCGATTAATGGATTCCTGCCAAACTTTGGTCATGTATGTATCTTGCAGAGCCAATGAACTGATTAGATTTTGGGGTCACGAGGTCAAAGGTCAAAGGTCACAGGGCTCATAATGTATGCAAAAACAGCTCGTGATCGTGTTATCTCAAGAACCGATGGATGGATCCCTGCCAAACTTTGGTTATGTATGTATCTTGCAGAGCCAATGAACTGATTAGATTTTGGGGTAACGAGGTCAAAGGTCAAAGGTCACAGGGCTCATAATGTCCATTATGACTGAGCAATAAAAAAAACAGCTCGTGATCGCGTTATCTCAAGAACCGATTGATGGATTCCTGCCAAACTTAGGTCATGTATGTTACTTGCAGAGCCGATGAACCGATAAGATTTTGGGGTCACAAGGTCAAAGGTCACAGCGCACATTATGTATGTAAAAATAGGATGTGATCGTGTTATCATTAGAACAGATTGATGGATTCCTGCCAAACTTAGATCATTTATGTATCTTGCAGAGCCAATGATCTGAGTAGATTCTTGGTTCATAAGATCAAAGGTCATGGGCTCATTATTTATGCAAAAATAGCTTGTGAACGCATTCTCATTAGAACTGACAGATGGATTACTATTTAACTCAGGACATCTTGCAGAACCAATGAACTGAGTAGATTTTAGGGTCATGAGGTCAAAGATCAAAGGGTCATATATGTATATGAGAAATTGCTTGTAATCAGGATATTCTGAGAACCTGTTAATGGATTACAATTGAACTTGAATTTGAAAAATTTCTTCCGTTCAGTTTGTAAAATTGCTCTATGACGGAGGCATCATTTTCGACTGCGCGCAGTCGAATTCCATCTAGTTTTTTTCTTCATCTAATTTCTCTTTCATTTCATTTTAAGGGGGAAAAGAAGAAAAAGAAAAAAAAGAGAGAAGCCTATATTTAATTTTTATTTTTGATACTCTTATTTTAAAAAAAGAGAAAGAAAGAAATTAATATTAAAAAGAAAGGCGTTGGTGATAATATTCAGGTCGTGACTGATTGCCATTACAACAAAAAACAACAACAACAACATTTCTGGAGTTACATTTAATGAATTTCCTAGGGTCAAGCGCAATCTTGTATTGTGTAGCAAGCAAAAGGACATCCTAATAGAATGTGGGGTTAGGAATATCCCTGTTTAAACCCTCCTTACACCAAACTATAAAGTATACTAATAACAAAACATGAAAATATTGATCTGTTAATGCTAGAATTATTTTCTCTGAAAATTTTGATAAAGAGCAAATTTAGGTGAAAATTAGGGTGATGACATGCGAGTGTAAGTTTGCTCTAAGAAAGCTATAAAAGCTGTATATTCCTAGATTTATCTTTCCATATCAATATGATATTATCCAATTCATTTTTTCTTTCCATTTTCAGTCTAAGATGGTGCGGAATCCAAGTGCTTTCATTTTGTTTGCCAGTGAGAATCGTGCAGCTTGTAGAAAGAACAATCCAGATATGACATTTGGAGACATTAGCAGGAGCATTGGCCAAGATGTAAGATCAATCAACACACTACAATTTATGCTTTAGCTAATTCAATGTACATACAGACCTTTTCTTCACAATTTCAGAATTGTCTGATTTTGGTGTGTTTACTATTAACCGAGAAGTACAAATTCTATTCTTAAATTACTTCACCGTTTTTTTCCCTTGAGATGCTTCATTGTAATGCACATAAAAACATAGATATTAGCATTTTTTTGTTGTTGTTGGTGTTGTTGGTATTATATCTACAAAGGATGAATTCAGCAGTCTTTAGCAGTGCTTTAGATGATTCCCAAAGTACTAAGTCAGTACTCGTAAAAACTAGTAAAAGTTTATCTGAGGCAGTAAGTTTATCATGTAAAGAGTTTGCACTAATCTGATGTACCATAATATTTCTATTGGGAGCACTTGAAATTACCAGCATAAAAATAATTAATTTCAACCATTTTTGGGGTCATGCAGTGGCGTAATCTTTCCAAGAAGGAGAAGCTTCGCTTTGAGAACATGGCTGCCCACATTGCAGCAACCCGGCCTCCTAAGATGAGAGAAGAGAAGAAGAGTAAAGATAAGAACAACGATGCAGCTAACAAGGAAGGAGGAAACGCAGAGCAGGTTGGGATCCAGGTCTATGAGTGTAACTGGGATGGATGTGACTTCATGTTTGAGGAGATGGATGATCTCGTTAACCATGTCATCGAGGGCAGCGGACATCTTAGAGCAGCCAGTGAGTATATGGGTGTAAACTTAACCATTGAGTTTTAGGGTACCGTAGATGAGGTTAGGATGTGTTTGAGGAAGTGGACAATGTAGTCAACCATGTCACAGAGAGCAGATCAGCCAGTGAGTATGTTGTTTTGTAGACCTCGCAGTCTGGTTGAAGGATTTGGATGTGACTTCATGTTTGAGTAAATAAATGATCTTGTCAACCACGTCATCTAGAGCAGTGGAAATCTTAGAACAACCAGTAAGTATATTTGTTTTAAACTTTGCCGTCGGGTTATAGTTTACTGTAGGTATTGGGATGCGTTTCATTACAATCCTGGATATAGATCTTCATTCAATCGGTAAGTACTAGGCTGAGAAACATGGGGTTATTATTATTACTACTCATTCTGTATCACCTGTGTGTGGGATAGGAGAGTGAACTTCATCAACACAACCCTCAGATCTCTCTTCTCAGTATTACTGATCAGGGTGTGCAGATCTCATTCATGGGTTTCATGAACTGATCGGCATATCAATTAGTCAAGGACCGGATATGTTGTACAGACAAGAGGTAGGCAGTACTGGGACATTATAATCTTACAAAATTACTCTAAAAATGTAACCTTGTAAATTATGTTATTTTGAATAGATTCATGGCTCTATAGCTATAAATACACTGTGCTTTGCGGTTGATATAGATTCTTGTCATTGGTAGACAGTACAGATTAAGATTACTAAGCTTGCATGATACAGTTCCCATGCACTACATAATGACATACTTGCTTTATCTAATGATTCCATCATGAGTAAATACAATTTTTAACAGGTTTGTAGCAGGTTAACCAATATAAAGCATATGCATGAGCACAGGTAGAAGACATTAACCAGCATAGAATGCAATGTATGACTTGTTTTCTTTCACTCTCATTTCTAGTATGCTTGGTTTTTAGGGGGGATTGAATAATCCAAAGTATATTAGTCCGTATTTTCACCATTTTCCATCTGCATGTACTTTGCCTGATTATTTGTTTTTCTGAGGGATTTGTTATGTTTTGGTTTGTTTTCTCCATTAATTACACACATGTACGTGTATGTACCTACTCCCCTCTTGTCTAGAAATCAAATGTGAAAGACCATGTATTAGTCAATGCTCTGAGAGGTTTGTATGGCTGAAAATATGGATAGAATAAAACAAATTGTGCAATGTAGCAAATAATGTGATTGATGACAGTGAATTTGTTCTTCTCAAATCAGGTTTAGAAGAATAATAATTTATGTATTGATGGTGGGAGGAGATTATTTGAGAAAACAAAAAGTGGACACATAACCCTAATATTCAACCCCTCCCCCCCCCCCCCCCCCCCCCCCCCCCCACTGAGCCACAGTCCTTCATCAGTTAGTTTTATTGAATAACACCTCAGAAGTGATCATTATATTTTGCACATTCAGAAGACAGACTTATCATCATTAATTCATTATGAATGAATCACAAATGATTAAATTTCTATTAGCAGAAAGAAATCATATCCGTAATAAAGCATTTGTAGGGGAGAAGTGAGAATATATCATTGATGCGGGTTTGTGAAGAATTGAATGAATGTTTGGGGCTGGGATGTCCAGGGCACCGACACTCGTCAGTATTTTCATGGTGACATTTGTTGTTTTGAACCAGGCACTACAATTGAAGTTGAAGTTGGTGAAGGACAGACCAAACGTGAGTGCATCCCATCAAAGAGAATGTTGTGTGCACCTTAAGCCTTGTCCAGACATGACTCTGTAAATTGCCTCAAACAAACTGCTGCAGCAAAGTAGAATGATAATAAGAAAAACATTTTTTTAAATTGTAGCACAGCTACTATACAAAAATACTCTAATGCGCTTAATACAAGGTATCATAGTGTTACGTCCGCTATAGCTTAGCCGCTGCAATAATGTGCAGAAGTATTTGAAGGAATTTCTTCCTACTGAGTCCCCATTTACATCACCTGGATTGAGATTGGCAGATTAAGATTAATGTCTTGCCAAAAGACATTAGTGCTGCGGTGGGACTCCAGCCTTGAACCATGTGATCCACAGTCCAATAACTAACCCACTAATCATGACACCTAAAAGTCAAATGCTCACAAAAAATCTATGTATGAAAACACAGAGATTATAGTGTTTGCATTAGAACCTGGCTTGCACGCAGACGCAGCTTTTATAATATTTTCCTCCCTTTCCACCCATTGCCATAAAATGATTTTCATTTTGCTGCAGCAGGGTTTTTTTGAGGCATTTTACCAAGTCATGTATAAAGAGGGCCGTAATGTCTCTTGTCTGTCGCATGTTTTTCTCAAGTCTCTTGATGTAATCGTCTTGTGCCTTCCCTGTCTCACCCTCCTCTGCTAAGTGCTAATAAGCTCTGTTTCCAAATCAAAATTGATAGTGCTCATCCTCTACACCCTTCCAAGAAGCAATCAATTACATGTCTTGTGATCTGTCTCAGCTCAAACTTTCCTATTGCACTGATCAGATTTAAAGCACTTCCCCAAACTCCTTAATGATACTTCAGATCTTTCTCAACTTTAGAGGCATCTCACTGATATAAACAGCATAAGCGTTTGAATTATTGAAGCCATGTACTGCATCATTGTAGAATGCTGAAAAGGTAGAAGGAATCTTTTCTACCAGATCCTCTAGGTTAAAGAGTTGAACAATTTGATTTTCATTGATTTTTAGCTCTTCTCAGTCTTTCAGAGGCATGTGCATGAGTAGATTAAAAGTTGAAAAATAGCCAATGAACATTGGAATTATGCATACATAATTATGCAATGTATTAAGCTACAAGTATCATTTGAAATTACATTTTAGTAATGTACAATAATACTTTCCAGTTCAAAGTGCTTTGGGTAGCAGCCAGCATAATAAACAAGCTGAAAGTGACTCGGTAACATTGTTGAAGGTTGATGAAAAAACTGTGTCATTTTTGTATGAAATGTTACTTACTTTATTCCTTCTACTGTAATAACCCTCTAACATGCAATAAATCCTGAAAACATTCTCAAACCACAAAGAAATTTCTGGTTTTCTTTGAAGGTGTCACTGTGCAACACCCTCTAAAAGTAAATTCTCCCTACCATTTTTGAATTTTCCCTGATTTTCCATGAAAATAAGACATAAAACAGGCTTTTAAAAATCTTTCAACATCTAAATGTCTGGAGTGGTTTATAAAGCCAATTCGTTGCTTTGTGACGATTTACATTCACCTAAAATGTAATTAAATTGTAATAATATAGTAGGGAGAATAAAGGAATCTACCAGATCAGTTTTCCAAATTTTTGTCATTATTAATGGTCTGTTTCCACTCAAACTTTCAGATAATCTTTAATTGTACATCTACCAATGAAGTCACTACCTTAGCACCATTTTCTCTCATCTGAACAATGTTACCAAGTCCCTTTAATAATACATTTTTTGTTAAATAAAAGAAGAAGAAGAAAGAGAGAGAAATGTGAATGAAAGTCAGATTCATGCATGTTTTCTCTTTTCTCTAAGCTATTTTAAAACACTAAAGTTTAATGAGACCTTTCCGTCACTAAATGAAAAATGCAAAATTCAATCAAAATATGACATTCAAAGTGTTGAATGGTACTGTACCTTCGAGTGTTGTTAATTAATTTCTAACTTTGGATAAAAGCATCAAGAGAGTCTAAAGTTTGCTTTTACAACTGAGCAATGTAATTTAACTGCAGTGTTTCTATGTATTTAAATGTCTCATTTAATTCTATGATTATCTATCAACCTATGCTTTGTTCCTTCTTTCCTTCTTTGCAACAACCTGCATTGATATTTGATATATATGCATGAATCTATTTATAATGTTCCTGTGTCCCAACTGAATTTCATATAAAGAATGAAGAGTATCAATATTTTCAAACATGACCAATGTGTCATGGTCCAAATAACATTTTCCCCATTGATTTATTTAAGATATTAATAAATGTGATCTTTTAGTTTGTGTAATTATGTTCTCTGTGAATTTGTGACCAATTGATTAATAATTGTGTTATGATGTTGTGAATTAGTGCTTGAAGTGAAGATCTTGTTTAATAGTTTGCTAGTAGGCATTTTAACATGATAACAAGTATTTAAACACATGAAACAAAAGCTTTATGCATTTCAAAGTATTTCAAATGTAATATATATATGTAATTAATGTCTCCCAACATACGAGGAGCAGTTCATTATTTGAAATACAAACATTCATTAAAACTATATTGTTCTTGTTCCATTACTCTTTTTCTCCCTTTATTGATAGAACAGAGAAATAACATGCTTCATGATTACAGAGTTTTTTTCCATTGTCTTCTCTTTGTTTTCTTGTATCATTTGTGAAGAAAAGGCTTCTTGAATCAGCTATGTTTATTATTTTGTTTGCGAATTCATATTCATATATCTCCCTTTTATTTCTTGCACCTTTTTTCTGTGATAACATTATAAACCCCTCAAAAAATGTTTGGAAGCTCAAGTTTGATCGATTATACCTCTCTTGTCATGGGATAATGATTGCTTTGTTCAGTATTGATCATAAGAAAGTATGTTTATTCCTGTGTAAAATGAAACCACATTCGTTATGGTTTTGCACTTATGGAACAAGCAGTAAATCAGAATAAAGGGCAGGGTTTAAAGTGAAAATTTGCAAAATGCACTTGTATTGTTATACAGTGCACTACAAAGCAGCCTTGCACTCTTAGAAAAGAAAAGAATGAATAGCCGAACAAGAATGGTGTATTTTGAATCTCTTCACTTTTTACTTGCTACTTATTTTGACAATCAGTTTAGGAAAGTGTTATGAATATGGGCCTGGTTGACTAACAAATAATTATTGGCAATCACTGTGCTGTGTGACTAACATTTTTCGTTCTAATAACCAGTCATAACAACCATTTAACTCATAACATTGAATGCCTAAACATGCTAGTTTATGAATGTTTACTTCAAGTATGTGCAATGATTGCATCTGTATCTGCTTTGGCTTGTTTGATGATTCTGAATGCAGCAATAAGTCATGATTCACTGAACAAGGAGAGGGAATGACCACTGCATTTTAAAACAGTGCAAATTATTTCCTGTCATCATGATATTCAAATGAACGTCGTGTTTGTATACAATTCAGTGAGATACAAATGTATCTAGTATTAATCGTCATCTCACCGCTAAAAGAATGTTAGAGCCATTGCCAATACATGGTTAGTGTCTTTTTTGCAGAAAGTCTACAATTTATTGTACCTGAGGTGACTTCCACTTGACAGAAATGCCAATAGGCTTCATTTCTCATGAGCATAAACATAGTTGGTCAGGGACTATTTCTTGAGAGCTTTATCTAATTAAAGGATATTACCGGTATCTGCTTTTTCTCTACAGGAGAAAATCAGTTCCTGTGCTGTTGGAAGACTTGTACTCGTTTCAAGAAAAGTCAGTAAGTTATTCTCATATGGATTCATAATGCAATGTAAAACCATCAAATGAGTTTAGGTCTTTGTGGTTGGTGAAAGAAATGAGTATTTATTAAAAATGTAATTATCCTCTTTTTCCTTAAACTGTATTTAATGAAATTCTGTCCAAAAAAACTTTCTAGTATGAGAATCATACCTCAACAATCTTCATTGTATTTCAGCAGTAGTATATATATGAAGACTTCAAGAGATGTTCCTTGAGTAAGAATATGAAAAGACAAAGTGGATCAGAATCTTAAAACAAGAATGATAGCTCAATAATGGAACATTTTCAACAGAGCATGTACCATGTGATTTGATATGTTGGAATCCATTGAATGACTGAACAAGTTGCAGGACATCTTAAGAAACTAAATGCGATATTTTAAATGGTACAACATAATACATTGTCATCAACTCATCTTCATCGCAAAGGTATCTTTATTTTTGTTTTGATGAAGGTTTGCTTATTAATGAATGATGATGGTGTCTAACCTTGAAATTTTAGATTCAGAATTGAAAACACTTATTTACATCTTGTGTTTCCTAAGTTGCCCATCTTAAAGATGATGATTTATATTTCATTATTCTTCATTTTATTTTTGTTATGATTTCAGGCCATTCCCCGTCTATTCTCGTCTGGTGAGACATTGTAAGGAGGTGCACATGAAGCATGCAGCTAGATTTGTACTACCACACCAACTCTCAAGGTAGGAGTTATAACTCTTCATCATCAAGGTTGTATTTCTCTTGAGAAGTGTTTTTTCAGATTTTTTATTGAAATCCCTTGCCAACAATATCCTGATGTTATACCAGATGCGAGACATTTATTTTATAAGAACAGAGAAATAAGTGTAAATTTATTCTGTGCTGTTCATGATATCTTTAGTTTTGATGTACTATTTTAAATCATCGTTGTCAAATCAAGTCTGTGTGGCAAAGTCACAGTGCGCACAGTGGTGTTAAGCTATCGATATCGATATTGGTATCGAGCTCTTAATTTCATCAGCAAATTTTTTGCTCGATTTAAGAGCTCTTGACTGCTCTAAACACTAACACTAACACTAACACTAACACCCAAATTGAAATCACTCAATGCCCCAATGTGAAGACAGCGATGTCCCACAATGCATCACCGATTGATTGATTAGCACGCGTTATAATGCTTGGGTACAGGAACTGTAAATCGCTCTATGTATGCCTTCACCTAAAGATGGCACAATTGTAAATACATTACAGCAGTGGTAGCGATGTCGGTAAAATACCCTGCCTCTAAAACTGCACTTTGACATCACCTATCATATCATATTATATTTGAACAGGAACTATCATTCCCATGCTGCCATTCATGGTCCTAATGCCCAGCGCCCATCCACTCCAGGCTCTAGCGCTGTCATGGGTGTGGTCGGACCACCTACTCCTGTTGGCATGGCAACTCAACAAATCAACCAATCATATGGGGGTAAAGTATTTCTGTTTATCTGCAAGTTGTTTGCATTAGCATTGTAATGTGTATGCAGTATGGAATGCTGAAACATATACCATCTATTTTAATATGTGCTATGTGTTTTTTTATCTTTTTGTTTTGAGATTATTGTGCTGACTGGACAATGCAATTTTTCTTAAATTTTCTATTGTACTGCTGTTTAATGTGCTGTTCTATTCTTGGAGATGAGAAAAGATGTATGTCAACTTGTTCTTTTTATAATGTTTGAGCTGTTTCTTTGTGTTAAGTTCTAGACAGGACAGATATATATTTAATACAGTAGTCAATATAATTGGTGTAAAGAATGCTGTTTGAGTCACTTTCTCTAATGCAGGATGATTTGAACATAATATTTTCCCCATATAACAGAGACTCTATGAAGTTGTGCTTGTTTGGATATTTGTAGTCACCTCTCATTATATAACTCAACTTACACATGCATGTACCGATAAAGCAATATAGCATGAACGTCTTCATTCACCATTTCCTTACCCAATTTTTTTTTATTTATGAAGAGAATTATTGTCAATCAACCAATACCATATTGACTTCTATGATTTGCAAAATTAATTTGTTTTTAAAATATGTTTAGGTTTTTGTATTTGCATGATTTGTGTTTAATTTAATGTTTGATTTTATGTTTAATTTCTTATAGGGATCTGCACCTATAGTTCTCTTGCAATTCAGTTGCGTTTGTATGCAAATCTGTCGATAAATTCTGATGTAAAAAATTAAACAAGCTCTTGCAAATTCAGTAGAGTTTGCTGAGAGTGCTGCAAAGTTGTGGATCCTCTTCACAGAAAACACACAGGAAAGACGTTATAGAAAATTCATTCATATTTAAAAAAGAAAATATACTATTGGACATCATATTAATATCAAGAGACTTTGTGTCTCCCCTCATAACTGATTAGTGAAGTAATATTCCCTGGATTCCTGCATTGATATGTTGAGGGATAATACTACTTGTGAGCTTAATGAACAGATTGAATAGGTGCAGATCTCTTCCCGTTTGTTTATGTTTGTTTATGTTTGTTGAGTTCACCTCCTACCCCCACTCCTACACTCTTACAGGCTATGGTATGCCAGTTGATATGTACAATGGGGGTATGCCTCCACCACCACCAGGTGGACCTCATGGGTCTCCATACCAGCACCATCAAGTCATGCCCCTTTACCAACCAGGCATGCACCCCCAAGGCCAGCCTGGCATGCATCCCCCTCCTACCCCTCATATGGGCATGCTACCCCCTCATCAACAAACACCGGGTGAGTCTCATACACGACCAATCCGACCATAACACATGTCCTTTTAATAATCACTCATTTAATCATTTACTCATTTACTCAATCCAACTCTAAGTCATCCAGTCATCCATTCAATTTATATCTCAGTCATTCGTCCATTCATGTCTTTTTCATTCACTTATCCATCTGCCTGTTCATAAGTGTAGAGTAGAATATCAGATCCACAACAAAGAAAATTGGTTACCTCCCTATCGTTCAAATTTTAATATGAATATGTGTTTTGATGCCTTTTGAAAATAGTTTGGTTAATAAGTCATTATAATTATTAATTTTCTAAACATGGTATAAATGCCAAAAGATTTGAGGGAAAAAATGCTCATCCCCTATTATAGAATCATCAGTACTCTCTCTATTTGATTATCGATCTCTCTCATTCACCCCCTTCCTTCCTTTTCTTTCATCCATATTCTCTTTGATTCCCTCTCCTCCTCCTTTCCTCCATGGTTTTCCTAAGTTCCTCTCCTTCTTTCCTCCATACTTTCCCATATTATCCCATCTTTTCCCCCTCCTTCTCTCATCCTCTTCTGTGTCTTTCACCCAGTGTCCCATTCTTCATAGATATGCTATTCTAGTATTCTTTCCTCAAGTCTATTGCTTGAAAACACATGAAAACTGTTGAACTTTCTTTGTCATTTAGATTTTCATGCCAATTTATATGCTATTTATATGCTATATTATAGACAAAAAATATATTACACTTGGCTTTATGTTTCTTTACAAAAAGATTATAATTTTATTTTGTGTTTATTCGATATGAACCCACCGTTTATTTGCCTTTGTTATTTATCACTTAAATTTTGCAATGATATCCTGTTCTGTATTGTAAAAGCTATTCATTTTTGCTAAAAACAGTGTCGTTTATTTTGCTTTAAAAGTAACCAATTCATTTGAAGCTAGATGTAGTGTATAATCAAGAAGTTAACACAATTTTGGTAAATATATTTGCACCAATTCACCTATCACTACATTTTGTACTTAACACATATGTCTGATATTTGTTTTATGGCTAAAATGTGTTATTATTTTCTGCTTGTTTGCTTATTGTTATTTTTTTCCATGTTTGTTGAAATGTTAATTTGCTGTTGTTGTTAGGCATGATGCAACCCCCGTATGGTATTCCAAGGGGCCAGGCTATGAGCCCACACGCTGGGGCACACAGCCCAGCTCATTATCAAGGTAAGTTGGCACAAAAGAGGAAGAGTTACATTGTGTGATATTGTGATATATGTGTATGTATTGTCTGCTGTTAGCCAGAAGGGTGTTATTTATATGTAACAGAATGGACGTAAACACCTTTTTGCTCTCAGCAGTTTAGATAGTTAAGAGAACCACTTTCATAGACTAGTAAAGATCTCGGTCACTGGACTGCAACTAGATTTTAAAAGAAATCAGAAAAGTGTTAGACATGACCTTGATATTTCAAGAATAATTTTGATAAATCTCTTTGAGTCATTCAAATGGTTCATACTTCCTTCATTGTTCAGTTGTGTTTGAAAAAAACAATTCTAATTAAATAATTGAGCTGTATAGGACTGATCAGATATGATACGGTAAACCGCCACGAACAAACTTCACAACTTTTTTTACGTGTCAATGAATGGAATCTGCGCCCAACGAATGAATATGTTCACTGAGCTCTGTGCTTTAAGATACAGAAATGTGACGCGTATTACACTTCAAGTAAAAATATTAAAAAACACAGTGGTTTTGGCACCTTATATCTGAGCAAGGCCTATGTCAGCATTGTGTCTTTAATAAATAGATTATTTGATGTTATTTGTTGTATGTTTTAATTGTCTCCTTTTGTTTGCTCGCTTGATATTTAAAGGGTATTGTTGCAGTTTCAAAGGCCATTCAAAATCTGACATTTCATGATATATTTGTAACGAATAGGGAGAAGCAATTTCATACCGACTTTGACATCAATGTCAATGTAATGACGTTTACTCTGCGTCTACCATACAGAAATGATATAGGGCATGAACTTTGTAGAAAATGGTTAAAAAATAACAATAATTAACAAGTAATCAAGGCCATGTACCGGTATACATTAAGAGCAATAATTCCTTGTATAGACAGTCAATTCAATTAAATTCAGTTTATTTGGCATCACAAAAAACATTACAAGACATAAATACAGAATGAATAATAGGCCATGTATTTAGGAAAGGAAATTTGTATGGCATTTCTTTTGACCCAAGCCTCCTATTGAATTTTGTGATGCATTCAAAAGAAACCTGGGATTTACATATATGGGAAACTAAATTTATGTATATTAATGTTATATTAGGTTCTACCAAAGCAGATTTTACTTGTTCTTGACTGTAAAAACATATATCATCATTTGTGTGGTACACATTTAAACAAAAGCCAAGATTTAATTGCCCCTCGTTTGTTGTATTTTTGAAGGTGGTGTAGCCCCTGGGCAGCAGAGTATGCCAGCTCAGTACCCTCCGATGGCCCCTCCTCAACCCATGTTTGTACCTGCCCCACCCAAGACACAGAGACTACTTCATTCAGAGGCTTATATCAAGTAAGTACATCGTGATCCAAGAGGAAGGGTTTGAGTTGCGTTAAGTTGTGTTCTGATTTGGTTATTGTTAGGTATGGTGTTTAGTCAAGGATTAAAGTGAGACTTTTGATTAGAGTGAGAAGTTACCATCATAATTTTAGCAGGAGCAAATATCTGTTACTCTACAATTTTATGTTAATGCAAAGTGCATTTCTCATCATCTTCATCTCTCACTTTCTCTCTTTCTGTGTTTCTCTTTCTTTTGCTTTTTTGTTTTTGTTTTGATGATTAGAGATCATGTCTGGCGAAATGTTGTCTGTCAGAAAATTTCAACCGATTTAGAAATCAATGTGCAGTCTTTCAAGTAATTGACTTTTTTCTTTTATTTATTCTTTTCTTTTTCTACTAGGTATATTGAGGGACTAAACAATAGGTCTGATACAATCAGTGATTGGAAGCACAGCCTCGGTGCTACGAAGGAAACCGTTCCAATGTCTGACAATCAGAAGCAGCGACTCCCACGCCATTGGTTTGCACAGGGAGTGTTAGGAGAAGATGAGGATATCTCTAATGCTCTTTGGAAGATGAGAGACATCATGCAGAATGACTTCCTACAGGTATCCAGGGCATTCCAATTGTAAGTAGCAGCCATGTTATGATCGTGTTCTCTCTACTCTTAGACCTGTCTTTAAAAGAATATCCCATGATTTGTTTGAGCATGGCTTTGGTTTTAAAAGGAGACTTGGAATGAGGTCTAAGTTGTTACTATATTAGATTTACTCAGACAAAATGATACCTGGCATTGAGTATAACTGGGGTAGTAGAATACAAGTGAAATGGCCTACCTTCTAGTCCATACAATTGTGTTCACCTGTTCAGAACAGTGTGGCCATTTCATATGAATTGGCCTTTGGTAACAATTAATATGAATTATGCAAATTAGCAAGGTCTGCATTAGCCAGAATGACACTGTGATCCCTAATCAACGAATGGTAGTTTTAAATTTAAGCACCAAATTTGCTAAAAATGACACATCCGGATATTTCCAATTCATGCCATATTAGTATATGTAAATGTTCATGTCTTTAAGATGCAGTTCACTTAAAGGAGAACTAAACCCAAAGAATAACTTTAGTTGTTCTGAGAGATTTATTGCATTCTTGCCCATAAATCTACAAGATTCTCCAATAAAGTGTATGAGAAAGGCATAAAGCAAGAATAAAGTACAGTTTCTCAGCAAGACATGGGCATCGCCATTTTCTTGATTGCATGACGTACTATGCGCAGTCGTTTATGAACTAAATGTATTCAAATTCATGATTGCTTTCTTTTGAAGCATTTCATTCACCTGCTATTATCCTCTGTACTCCAATTGCCAGAACACAAATTGCATAAATAAGTTGGTGCTGTGTTGGGGTGAAGATTTCCCATAAATGAAATAGATTTGTCAACCGCTATTTTTTAGTATTTTTAAACAAATTATATATATCTTGTACACGTTCGTAAGATTTATTTCTTTACGTCTGTCTTTTGTTCTTCATGCCCCTCTCTCCCATTCCTTTTTTCATCTTCCTATTACAGTGAAACTCCTGGTACTCAGAACGGCCCCCCTACACAGAATGGCACTCCTACACAAAATGGCCATCCTCCACAGAATGACATTGTGATTGTATGAATGCAAAGAATGCTACTATCCAGATTTAGTTAATCATGATGAATAAGCTGCTGCCAAACTATGCTTGTTGCCTTCTATTTATTGCTTCAAACTAAGATATTGTCTATTGACAATTTAAAATAAAAAAGCTCTTTATTTGTCATATATATCTGTAGATGATGTTTTGTCTATATTTGATGATATTCTGCAACTCTGGAATAGGGAATGTTGTTAATGATATTTAACAATTTGTTGCTTTTATAGTGCAACTTTGTTTGCTGAAAATTTGTGTAGCTTTTGGAATTTAGATTATGTGCATGAAGCTAAAAGCATGCAGAATGGAAAATAGGAAGAAATGGGGAAATTCTTACCCATCATCGGCTGTCTAGAAACTTGCTCGTTATTATGTGAATTTGGGTCAAATCTGTATTCAATGTACCAGTATGTGATATGAAGTTGATTGTGCATAAGTATGTAGATGCGATGCTATCCTGGGCATATTCAGCTTATGTACAAGTGGCAAACTATTTGACCAAAGTCTTATTATATTCATCCCTGTTATGTGAAATTGTGTCATGAGTCACTTCATTTGCAATTTCAAATGTGATTGGTAGAAATTAAGGAGTTAATATAATGTAGATATATAGGTTGATAATGCAAATTTGAAAATGAATCGCAATTGCATTTGATCCTTTTCTGATTAAGAGGATTAGGAACCAATCCTTGAAATGATATGAGAGACGGAGAGAAATACAGGAAATTCAGGGTTCAAGATTTTGTGGGTGAGCTGAAAAAGTTATTAAATTAGAAAATATATTTTGAAGAAAGAAACAATGAAATTGAATGGGACAAAATCTCATCACATCTGCATAAGTGAATTAGGATTGGTGTTATAAAAATGCTAATATAGCTGTGATGAACTGTGATCTAAAGCTGATACAAAAAATTAAGAGAAATATTAGTTCTGATATTTAGATGGATTTAGAAACCCATCAAGGTATGCCAGAGATATATTTAACCCTTGAGCCAGAGAGAGAGGAAGAGAGAAAGAAGCTCAGATAATGATCAGAGAACATTCTATTTTAATTTGAAAGAATCAATATTTATGAAGGGTGCAAAACTGCCTTCTTCCTCCGAAGGGAGATGAAATCAGCGTCCTAGATCTCGTACCAAAACGTCAGGCTAGAGGAAACCTACACAAGGAATGTGAAATCCACTTTCTGACATGTGTTTGTGAAATATTATTGAAACCACATCCTGACCAGAAATAGACACTGAGATCAGAATTTCCTGAAATTAACCAGAAATAGAATTGCTCACCTGCTTTTGAGACATTCCAGGAAAATATGTTGATGTTGATTTCTGCCATCTTGTTGGAGAAGGACTTCCTCGAACAGGATGAAATGATTTGGTTTATTTGTTCTTGTACATTGTGTAAGTTATTTAACATGACTTTGTTATTTTCAAGTTGATGAGGCTCGCAGAGTTCTAACTTTGTATTAGGTTCAAGCCACTCTTTGTACTTTGCTGTCAATATTCTTGTCTTTCTCTTGTTGTAGTACAGGTCTCAATACAGATCTCAATCATTGTTTATTTAGTTTTGTTATTATTTAGATAATTCCATTTTCATGTGTATTTTGTAAATTTTCCTTTTCACTAAGAGTCTCTCCCTGTCATGAATTAGTGTAATTTGTTTAATGAGAAATGAAAATTTCCATTTTGCATATACTTTTTGTGATGGTACAGTTAGTAAACACATGTAGGTGGCAATTAGATAATTCATATTCAGTACATGAAATAAGCTCACATTTCATATTTGATGATTTTGTATGAAATTACAAAATTCAAGAAGTCAGTAATTCTTTGTTTTATTTTTCACACAACACATCCTCTTTATTGCCTATCTTTCTTGAACTTTGAAATGGAAATGATTGGTAGATGTCTATCCGCTCCGTGCATACTCATGGATACCTACGTATAGAATTGGATTCATGAAAATTATGATTTGTTTATGAGTTTCTACACATTCATCCATGATCCATAGATGTGTGTTGCAACCAAAGAAGCATAACATTCATTAGAGCTTTGGATATTTGTATTTACTGATGTGTTTTATTTGTGAACCCAGTTGTAATATATGCTGTTTGTTGTACAGGGGTTAATTGGTACTTTTTTGAAGAAATGAAATAAATATGATATTCATCATAAATGTCAAAGCTATCCTTGATTCGTTATGCTTTCATTTCCTAGTATATTTTAGTTGTCCAATAAACAATGAGAAGGAAATGATTAACTGTTGACAGTTTTTCCAATGAACATTACAAATGGTAATATCAAAAAATATGAGTAGGGTATATAGCCAACATTCACCAAAATGTTTCTGCTTTTCTCAAAATGTATTAATATATGTCTAATTCTTATGTTTTCACTTAAATTTTAAATTGCCTTTTAAAAAACCAATGTTTTTTCTCATTGTCCAAATTTCTTTAATATTCAGTTTGTTTGTTTCTGTTGGTTTCAACCAAAACAATGTTATCATGGATGAGTTTCCCTTTAATTACGGTCAAAGACTTTGAGTGTGAGAGGAGGGGGGGGGGGGGGGGGGGAGGAGGAGAGAGAGAGAGAGAGAGAGCGACAAGAAGAGAGAGAGTTTGAATCAAACAAATAGGGCAATTGCAACTTAAATCAAACAATACTGGGTTCATTGGAGAGATTAAGTGGGTTGAAAGAGAGGTGTTGTCTTCTTCCAATCGAATCAAGGCAACATGATTTATTGTTTGATTGCCTTGGTGGATGAATGAATGAATCAATGAATGACTTATGATACAGATGAAGCTCATCAAAAAATCAAAAGGGAGACCACGCATAGGTAAAATCTAGCTTTGTGTTGTGTGGAAAATCTGACGTAATGAACATGAAAGATTAAACCATGTAGGCAGAGCTTCATCGTAATCTGAATATTAGTTTTGGATTTTCAGTGAATCTTTCATGATACATTTTAAAGAGCTGCTATACATTTAACCACTTAAGTCCTAATTTTGTATACCGAGTTCCCTCTTTGTATTAAATTTAGTCCCTGATTGCATTACTTTCTCCATCTTTTATTGTACAACTCACTCCTAGATCCTAATCAAATGATTGGTCATACGTGGTTGTGTGTGATTCATTTACTGAGACCATCCTATGTTTTCTTCATAAAAAGTGTGCAATAGTTTCTAGCACTATCCAACTATTTTTAAGTAGGCAATGTACAGCAGTGCGCATAAAGGTTAGTGCACTATTAGTGTTGTGGTGCACTGTGCGTAAATGCCTGTAGATCAATAAAAGAGTGCTTATCTCTTTGTGTGCATGCTTAAGTAAGCCCATTGCTTGAGATTTATTTTTAAGCGATGACAGGAAACTATCTTGAAATTAATTATTTTTACATCAAATAACAAGGATCTAGGAGTTTTGTTATATAAAACAAATTACCGGTATGCACGTTTTCAGTTCATTACAGTATCTATCCTCTCTTGTTGAAGCTGTTTATGCACCTATGGTACTCAGCCTGATGGCTTTATATGATGCATACATGAACCCGAGTGCAGATAGATTGCATAATGAACTCATTCGCATACATCACTTATATAACCAACATGTATCTGTTCACCACGCACAAAGTATAATCAAGATATCTTTCTAGCACATTTATTCCTTCTTTCTCTCATATGTACACTATTTCCTCCTGATCTTATCTGAATAAATGTTTCCCTTTAATTCATATGCAGTACATTTATATGCAAATGAATGTTAGGAGTATGATCCCCCCCCCCCCCTCTCCTATAATCCATCTCTCTCCTGTTTTCTCATTATATAAATATGAATGAACTTTCACTTTTTCGTTCACACAACTCCTGCATCAATTAAACACAAAGCCAATTAAGCCCAGACACAGTTTGATACATTTTTTTTTCTTTATTGTCATATTGCTCAAAACTGACACATATTCACATCACTGTTCAACAAATGACACCAGTTCATGTTTCTACCTACTCCTACTCACAATTCATATTCATCTACCCAAAACACTAGCATTTTATAACATTTTTTTTTCTTCAAAAATTCCTACACATATCCATTCTTGAATTTCCAATGTTGCAATGTAGATGTCACGTACGTCTACCATCCGATGATCATCCATCGTATCTGAAACATGAACATCCACTGCCACTACATGACATCCACTAAAACATTTCACTACAATCTACAGGGAAATTGTACAAAAATCATTCTTTATGTCAACATACAATTTCTTTCAAAACATTGTTTTCATCTGATTTTCCATGATTTTATACAAACATACATGTTGAACATTGTGACACAAAAAAGTACCAAATGTCCATGTGATGTAACAATACTAATAAATACAGTACATGTTTGGTCTTTTCTCTAATTCAATCATATGAAACTGTACAGTCAAAAAAATAATAATAATTTGCAAACAGTACTCCATCTCAAGAATTGGCAATAACGTTCTCAAATGACTGTAATTCAGTTCATATTTGAGACAGAGATTTCATATTCAATATACATGTACAAAAAACACAAAACTTTTAACAGAACTTTTAAATTATTTGTTCATGATAAATACTTGAGCTCTGAAATGATATAGATCAGCGCATGGTCCAATAAGCACTAGAAACACATGGACTGACTTGTCCTGCCTGCCTGCCTGCGGTACAAAAATAAAAAGGTACTTAAAAACAGCAAAGTAACTAAAAACATAACATAATTCATCTGTACATGACAAAACAGATATACAAGTTAATAAGTTAGTTGAGAAAATGTAATACCATGACAAATGCATAAATATCCTTTGAAAATGGGTTCAGATCAGGCCTCGATACCTTTGCCACACGAGGTCAACATACCCCAAGATTAGAGTAATTTGTTATTCTCACACTTATTTAATACACCCTCTTTGGGGCATACAGTCAAATAGGAGTATAGACATCCAATGTTTAGGCTCTTATAAACACTTAAATAATTATGTATTTTCAATACTTATCTAAAAAAATTAGAATCAAGCTGCAACACACAGTTTGGCCCCTTGTATTGTAACTACAATGTATTGCTCTCAATTTCATGATCAAAAATAGATAAGAGGGTTAAATCTATAAGACACTTAAATCATATATATTGAAGACATTCAACACCAATATATAGGAATAATCAACAAGATTAAAAAACAATTCTAAAAATCAATGGAAAAGTGAATAATCAGTTTAGTGTATCTAAAGTTAATTTCAAAGTATGATCTGCAGTATTTACATTTCTTTATAAATGAGCACAAATTGCAAATTTTGGCAGAATTTAAAATGGAGATGTAGTTTTTAGTATAACAGACCATTTTGATTTATACATTTAAAAAAGTGTATTTTCTAATGGCAAAGTGATGCATCAATGTACTTTTTTTACAGTAAAATTCAATACACTATGCTTAGGAGGATAATGTACAAAAAAAAGGCAGTATTGCACAATATTTGAAAAGTCAGCTCTACGCAAATGCATTGACAATATCTTAATGGAGACAACATTGAGCGGAAAGCCACCATTCTAGCAGTTCCTAAATGTCAGTTCAATTGATGTTCAAAAATTCAAAATGTGTGATTTGAGAGTTGCTCATTGTTGAAACTCTTAACCAAACATATACCGGCAGCTTAAACTGGGTATATGTACCTGGTAAAATACAGAGAAAACAATAATAAATACAAGTTTTATTAATTAAAAAAAACACAATTAGGTTCTCATCAAATTTATAAACCAATTTATCCCCAAATACTGTTTAAATTTAGTCTACATCATAAACAAAATCATTACATGAAGACAATAGAGAAATGTCAAAATATGAATTTGGTGAACAATTTCATTGACCAAAATCACATAATATAGTATCCAATACTGAAAGATAAGAAATGCTAGTTAATTCCTCTTATGATTAGTAGCAATACATTCAATAGATTATACATCCATAATGTAATAAAAACCCAACTGGTAATATAATGAAACCTGGTTTTATTGCACTTGATATGGACATTCTGTTTCATGCCTTGTCTCTAATGGGGGTATTACTGGTTAGGTTCTTGACTGACTGACTGACTGACTGACTGACTGGAGACTGAACAGACTAGCTTGCCCCAGTACCACCGGCTATATGCTGCTCAACGCAACAAAGGAGTTGAGCATAATATGATAATACATTGAAATATGAAGTGGCATAATAGTGCAATCCTGCCCATATATTGTGAGTGTTACTTACACTCGAGAGCCGCTATTAAGATGGCAGCTAGCTCGCACAAAAGGCAGCTTTTCTACCACTCAGAGGTCTAGAGGGAGAAGAAAAGAAAGGGGGCTTAGGGAGAAGAATAGAAAGCGACCCCGGGTCAAGCCTTAGAATTCTCTCTGACCTCTACCATAGAAACACTTCAAGCTACAATACTAGACCTTGAGCAGTAATTACCCCGCATAATTTATTCACTAACAAAAGACAAATTCTGCATTCAGCATTTCTACTTCTGTCTCCCACTCTCTCTTGCTTCCATATTTGGTTTGAAAATTTGTGCGTTCACTTGGCATAATTAGAAAATTGACAGAAAGCTAAATGAGTTATACATCAAAGTAAAACCGAAATTGCAATACATGCACTTTCAAATTGCGCATTTCATAACAAACATTGCTAATTTCTAAGAGAATACATGTTGTAGTGCACTTACAAACCCATTTTAGTATATTTTCTTTAACAAGTTCTCAAGGTCTAACTTCATCCATCCATGACAACAACCTCAGCTATATCCCTTGTATGACAAAGTCATAAATTCACTTTAAAAACAAATTATTATTTCAAATTTGAAATAATAAAAAGTTCCTTGCTTTATTCCTCAGCAGATATTTCATGTACATCTCCCAAGCACAAATCAAATTTTGAAGTTAAATTTCATATTCTTGGTTGAAGGGAATTCTTATTATGAGGGAAACATTCAGTAAATAGCATTCTGTCAGATGATCAACAAGCTCTGGTTCATAAAATTATCTTTTCTCCCTATTTTCCCTACAGAATAGAAGCCATGTAATAAACTTGCATGGAGTATATTTGTATAGTGAACCAATCAAAGCACACAAAGATTTCTACTGGCCGTGTGGGCCAGGCACTAAGACTTCTATTTGCTACCCCAATTCCTAGACTTTTTTCCCTTTCTTATTTCTCCTTATTTTTTCTGTAGCACAACCCTATGGTATTTGCTGTTAGAGAAATGCAAATAGCTCATTTTTAGGGCTCCAGCATGAACTGCATACATACATTGCAACAACAACCAAAAAGAAGAAAAAGAAACCTATTCAAACCGTGAATACTACCCACTTAGAGTGTATGATTCTATTTGCTTCGACAAGTTGACAGTGAAAAAAAAGCTGGCTTGCTGAAATATCATAGAGCAATTTCCCAAATTAAAGAGGGAAAGTCATAAAAAAATCATTGAAAAAATGAAATAGAAATGACATTTCCTGTGCACTGCTATTTATTCTATTGTGTCGATCGCTAAACCAGTCTACAACGAATTCATGACCATGATTAGATTCGAATGAACATACTCCATCAATGGTATAGTATAGGCAGGGGTTAATAGCATGATGTGGTTTGGGTTCTAAATCAGTCATTTCATTAGCCAATTACCTAGCAATGATTTAAATCAAATAGATGGGAAGCATGCAGTTGAGGTTTCTCTCTCATATATTGGTTGGTCTCCATATGAAAATAAACATATTGGTCTTATATGGTATGGCAATACATGATCTTTCTTATCATATCATAAATTGATTGAATGAACATATACATAATCTATCATCAAACAATAAAATGTTACAATGGGAATTAGTGAAATTGATTGTTAAATGTAAACGTGACATGTCATTCATAAATTATTCATATCTAGTCTAGTAGAAGTAAAACATGGTACTTGATTAATATCTTTATAACGATCTACTTTCAAGATTTCTGACACTGCTACATATACATGTACTTTACTAATAGATACTATAATGACATTTCCAATTGCAAAGCTGAAATTTTCTCTGGCATCTAAATGACCCCTTAAATGTATGACACAAACCTATGGGTGAACAAAAGACCAGATCGAGTCAAAGACTAAATGCAATAACCTACCTAGTGCGTACAACCAGGGGGCGACACACACAAGCACACACACACATGGTTTCAACACACATGTAGAATAGGCGACTGACTGGCAGTGAACGTGTAGGCATTCTCATGATATGTATTCATACACGGGCTCACTCACGGGCTCACTCACTCACTTCATCCACATACATATAGAGCCTATTCACGTATTATGCCAATTCAATGACAACATCCATGAATGTTTGGTCGGCTAAATTGAAATCATAATTGTGCAAATCCATTGGCACGTACGAACATTTAATGTTCTGAGCACTGGGGTTAGTCTTTGTTCTCTCTCTTTTCCCCTTGCCTTTCTTTCTCTGTATCATTGTCATGGTTGTATATATTGGTAGCATGCATTTGAGCAGCTAATTTGCTCCCCCACACAGATTTGAACATGACATAATCTTTCATTGATGAATCATATCAAATTGACTACTACTCTCTAACCTCTTCCAGACAGAACAATATCTTATTGAATTCTAAGCTTCTGCAAGAAAAGAAGATTCCTTACGCATCAAACTACATACAGAGTAAAAGATATAAAACCTCATTGTTAGGAATTTTTTAGAAAAAATAAGGGAGCAAAAAGTAAGTATTAGCTGATGGCTAGAAAGTGCAATCACACAGGGTACGTCGTGTACTTCAAATGAATCTTCAGTGGATAATTTGATTGATTCTTAAAGGTTCATTAGGGTAGTGTTTGCAGCTTTCTTCATATGATGGAAATAAAAGTAAGTGTATAATGGTTAATCTCATCACACTTCATGTGTTAACATCAACATTGAATCTACTTATTAATGACAGCTATTAGATTACAGAAACAAAAGAGACTTCTTTTTCATATTTTTACACCTAAAATATGAATCACCTGCAGCTAAAATGTTTAAAAACACAGAATTATATTCCTCCTTTCTTTACCTGTCCTAAATGCTTAAGAAATGGAAAAACCTAGCAGTGGCTTGTTTGTTTGTTTGGGTATTTGTTATTTTTTGTTATTTTTTTTAAACGAACATGCCGTGAGGTTTGATATGTAAAAAAAAAGACTTTTACAAACATATCTAAAGTAACATTAATCATAGAAATCTCAAAAAGACTTATCTATCATACTAATAAGTGGCTACAAAGGCATGCTGAAAACCAAATATTCAGTTTTTTCTGTAATGGTGATGGAAATTACACATTTAAAAAAAATGAAACATACAAACAAACAAAGCTTGAGGCAGGCATTACATGTGTGTGTTGCTTGGTCCCTCTTGATTAAAACTTGATTAAAAGCATAAATGCAATTCAAGAAATTCAGGACTGGTGCAATTTTTGTGTGTGTTGTGTTATAATGTGCTTTTTATGCAAGAAACCCCTGGACACTATCAAAATTGACGCGACGTTATCCATTTAATTATAAATAAATGTGGTAGTTAACATATTTTTTTGATGCATATATTATAAAATATAGATATATATGATCTATACAGGGGGAAACAATGAGGTAAAATGGAACATGGGTAATAAGGAAATCTTTACCCAATTTTACTTACTCTTCTTATCATTACTTTAAAAAATGACAATACCTTGCTTTTAAAAGAGGAAAATGTTCTTTCCTCATATTGCAGCTAATCGAATGCATTTTATTTTTAGCACTGAGGCACTCAAATAGAAAATGATATAAAGTTCTTGTCATTTTCGATTCATGCATAAATACATGTACATTCTTTTCAACAAAGGAGAAACCGATGTAGTGAATGATTAAGGGTACCTGTAGTCTTTAAGCATGGACTTCTACACATGGTTGCATGTAGTCTTCCTGAAGGTTCATAATGCCAAAGATCAATTTTTCCATTAGGTTCGTAATTCTGAAGGTTAATTCAGAAAATGAAAGGAGCTTCTAATTTCAAAAAATGAAAGAGAATTAATTCCAAAATAAAAACGGGTTCATAATTCCTAAAATGAAATAGAACCCTCATTCGTTTTCGAATTATGAACCTTCTAAAAAATAAACCTTCAAGAAAATGTGTAACCCTGTATATATGACATTTAGGGAAGCCTTGTTGGATTGCATTCTTGTGTCCTTGCTACCAATCCATGTACAACATGATGATACCTAGAGGGACTTGAAGTACTCAACAAGATACTCCTATCTAGTCTCACTTCATCTGAAATCTATACTTTCTACTACTTCATTGTCAAGAACTGAAACATAGACTAGGTATGTGCATAGCCCACCCTGGTACAAGTGTTTAAGTGTTCATGTTCTCTTCTATCATTCTTTACTTCGGATTGCATCCACTATCATCTCCATTTTTGTCTTTGAGCAATACATCTCCCCTTGAACTCTCACATTTGTTACCCTGTACTATGCATACATTGCACTCTCATTGCATGAAGCAAAATGCAAACACAATTAAAAACTGGCAGAGAACATCTGATGCTAAATAAATACTTGTTTAAAAAGGAACTCTGAAAACATACATATCTCTGACATTTGAGGTAACTGGAGAAATGAATATATGTCCTTTGCAGAGCAAGATGGCATCAAAATATAGGAACAAGATAGAAGGGAAGGGAAGGGAAGATAATGAATCAGGGATTGATGCCCCATTGCATTTCTATAATAATGTATTCTTATCATCCTTTAAATCAAAGGATGGCATCCCATTGGTTGAACACATCTAATCCATTTATATTTATTGAGGTAGCTTATTACAGCAGTAAAATTAAAGCAGCATATAAATCTTCTATTTAAAAGCAAACATGTACAACCGGGGCTACATGTATTGAGCAGTGACAATGTACATTCCAACAAGCTCATAAATTGCATTGAGTAATTAATAAATTCATCAATTCATCCTTGTATAATGACTACATCAAGCATTATTGAATGACAGTGTTAAATATACACATATACAAATGTGGATAAAGTCCTAAAACAATATACAAACTAAAAGGAAACATCCTTCTCTTCAAGCCCCCATAGAACAATGTTAACATGCTCATTCAAAGTCACTTTTCATTTTCTGGTCATTCAAATTCATAAATAATATGAATCTGAAAATTAGCACAAAACAGAAGTTGATAACCCTCAAATAACTAGACTAATATCGATGGGAACAAACAAGCAACATGACAATAGCACTTGCAGTAACTTGGTCCAATCTACAGGCAAAATTCAACTTATTTCTATGAAATTCTGTACGAAACACAAAATGTAAAGAGGTTCCGTCACTCTGCCATGTATCTATAGAATACAGTATCCTATTCCTCCTTTCTTTCTTCAGCATCAGGCCCCATTTAAGAGCTATGGTTGTTACTTTGTCAATAAAAATCGACCCAAGTCAATCTTTTCTCACTCCACTAGTACCGAGTCATTTTTCCATCTCAGCACAAAGTGCTAAGTGTTACTCATAGATTTTTCAGTCTTATATTTCATCATACTGCTTGCATTGACTCATGGAGGTGAAATCATTCAATACAGGGCAAGCATTTAAGGGCATGTAAACCTCGTACTGGGCTTATAACTCATCAAAACACAAGCAAACAAAATTCTTTCCTTTCTTCTACATTGTAACTTTTGTTAACTTCTTTGCATAGAACCTTTCTTTCTTGTCCTATTTGTTCGGAATGACAAATTTTACTATCTCAATTAGGACTACTATACTTAAAAATGAGAAAGTTAAAAATCATGATCTGGTATTGTAAAGACTTTTCATGAGCAATTATAAACAGAAAATGCTCATGATACTTTTCAATTGAATTCATTTAATTAATAGCATGATTACAATACTGCTTTGCATAAAACATGAAACTGACACAAAATAGCAGCAAACAACAAATCCACAAACTAGACATCCTATATTTGCAATTCAACAATAACATCAAATTAAAATATTGAAGCTGCAAAATAGTACATATATTACGCAAATACATGATTCTCAACATATCGAGCAACATATGTTTCAGAAATTTTTTCTCAGCTAATACATTAGGTCTAATCATTAGGATTGTTTCAAAAGAAAAAAAGGCATGACTATAAAATCACACAATTTGAATTGGCAGACAAATCAGAATGCAAGGTGACCAATTTCATCTAATGGGATACAGACCATTTTAAGTACCAACTGTTTTAGGTTTTGTGACATGATTGATTTCACAACTTGACATAAAAACAATCTCACCTGGACTGAAGGTGATTATACTGGATGGAGAGAGAGCTGAGGGAATCCTTACATATTACCTCCACCTCCACCGCCTGGGTTAGGCTCCTGTTGAAGGTAGCCTTGATGGCCAGAAGCAGGCATATTCTGGTATGATGACTGCTTAAACCCTGGCATCATAGGGTTACTAGGACTTGATCTCTCCTGCATGGAGCTCAGTTGGATGTTCTGATGTTGAGCAGGTTGTGGTATTGACTGCTGTTGTGGTGAGCGGGATGCTGCTGTTGCTGGTGGTGGTGGTGGAGGTTGTGATGGTGGAATGGGAGGCGACTGCTGTGGCTGGCGCTGCTGCTGAGGAGCTGGTGGACGGCACATATTGTTGCTGTATGGCTGGTTTTGTTGGGGAGTTGCTCCCCTGGGTCCGGCTGTTCCCTGCCCTATGGCTTGCCGATGACCTACTGGTATTCCCTGGTTATTGATGCAAGGTATTTGATCCAAGAAATCGTCCATGAGGTCCAGCATGCTTGGATTGTGGACATGCTGAACGTCATATTGTCCATAGTTATGTGACATGGGCTCTTGCTTGATGACAGACATACTCTGGCCTGAATTCCAACCAGAGGAACATAACGTATAATCGCCAGCCTCTTGCTTCACACCAAAGGAGTTCTCAGACCTCTGCATAGGGGTAAACCCTGTGCCACCGCTGCTACCCATCTGCTGGGGAGGAGGTGGAGGCAGTAGTTGTGCTTGAGGCTGGGATACATGGTGATAGTAAGGCGGTGGATTTGATGGCATATGAGGCCCATCAAGGCCAGGCTCTCTTTTAATCTCCACTCCCCCATGCATAGGGGGTTGGCCAGGGAACCCACAGCCCCCCATCCCTCCATGATAAGCCCCATCGACCGGCTCTGATTTCACCCCTGGATGATGCGGTACTTGTTGTGGTGGTGGTGGTGGTAATGCCGGATGTGGTGGCGCCTGCTGCTGCATCTGTTGTTGCTGCATCTGCTGTTGTTGCTGCTGCTGTTGCTGCTGTTGTTGTTTCTTCTTGCTCTTTGATTTGACAGGGGTTGGTGGCATGGTCTCTATTGGTGGTCTTCTAATCTCTGAAAGAGGAGTTCCTTTAAGTTTATCTCTCAGCTCCTTGAGAGTTATGTAGAATGGGACTTTGTCCTGTGCTCTGGGAAACTGTGAGCACCTTGCACTTGAAGAAGGCATAACATAAACAACCTGCAAACAAGCAACAGATTTAATAAAGAACAGGTACTTACCAAAGTCTCAAAACGCAACTTCACATATGAATATTATCGTTATGAAAATAATAAAGCTTTTTTTAGCAATGAAAGGTCAAATTTCCTTCTTAAGAATTACACATGCTCAATTATTTGGATTATTTCATGCAGTTAATGTTGTTGTTTTGTTTTTTTTCTCCCCAAATGTGAAATGTTCTATATCATATGTACACATCTATCAAAGTCTAAATGGCCTTGCAACACTCAGTTTTGTACTGCAATATCACAAGGTTGCCTAAATCCCAAATATATTCAAAGGAGAATGAGATGAAACAATACATCATTGTCTAATATCTATCGTCTCTGTTACATAAAATGTAAATTTACTAATGAAACGGTTGAAAAGTGAATATTTTGAGAATTTTAATCATATACTGTAGCAAAGTGAGATTTTCATACAGAATATAAAACAACAAAAAGTTCTACTTGATATAATTGATTGAGGTTTGGTTGACTTACTGTTTCAGTTCCTGGAATGTTTTCAGGTTGCCTGCCAACCTCAAAGTCTTTCTTGCCACTGTAGATCTCATAGATGCCCTTGCCATTAAAACACGCTATTAAAGGAAGGTACTTCTGAATCTTTTCTACCACTACCTTGGCTCCTTCTTTTATCTCTTTCCTGATAATAACACACAAAAACAATGTGCAATTATACAAATAAAGTTGTTTTTCTACTGAAGAAAGCTCATGCAGAACTTAGAAAGTTATGCCAGTTTTGAGAAATTGAATTGAAAATTAGAATACATGTGAAGTGTATGTAGCCATCAGCAATGGAATATCTTTCATCTCTCTTTCTCGATATCAATATGAAAGTTAACATCACTTCACAGTACAGCCACCCATATTTTCATTGAGTGTAGAGATGATCGGTACTACAGAAACGTAAATGTATTCTTTGCTGTATTAGTTGCTTTTCTTTGCTTTCATAGAGTATGTACAAGAAAGTAATTTGTACATCTGTTAAAAAGTTTAGAATCCATGCCCTATAGTTTTGCAATTCAAAATACAAAGAAACAAATAATACTATAAAACCAAATAGCACAAATAAGCATCATATCAACAAGAATGCTATAGATATGTCTTATACATTATTAACCAAAACAGATGTTCACAGAGCACCAGAAGTCCGTTTATAATGATTTGGAGAGGGTAAAAGCATTCATCTTGACCTACCTCTTGAGATCTGCGCTTCCTCTCGTTGTCCTGCCAACGATATTTGTGAATCCTACTCCAAAGTCAGGTAGCTTGACATCATCCATGCAGGTCATTGGTTCAGGTACAAGACCAGACAGGTAGAGGCACTTCCCTGTATGTCAAGTGTATCATATCAGATAGAGGCTTACTCAACATAACAAACATCATACACACACAGGTCTGATTAAAGTAATACAAGATGAAATAACTTAGACTGTCACTGCCCCTACCCCCCCCCCCCCCCCCCCCTTCCCCCTTCCTCTCTGATTCTTAAAATTCATCACTTAAATTATATATTATTGTTAAATTTGAGATTTTAGAAGACTAGACAAAAATATCTTCATATTTCTAGATGATTCAATCAGTCTACTTAAACAAATGTATTTTATACAAGTTCCTAGAACTTTAAAAAAAAAGGAAGAAATATATGAGTAATCCAGATTGAACGACAACAAAGTGACTACCGGTAAACTTACAAAAATGGTTTCCTGGTCCAGCATAATGGTGACCTTTGTATGCAGCCATTAAACCTGGGTTGATGCCAATCTGAAAGAGAGAAAAAAAGCATTTCAATGTAGGTCATGACACACTTGTAAATGAAAAGCAATGCAGAGTAAAGGAAGGATTAAATGAATGAAGGAAATTGTATTAGCTTATATCTCCGAATGACTGTTATCAAGAGCAGATTATATTTGAACGATATACCACATGTAAAGTTTGCTGGCAATCATCAAAATACAACAAAGATAAAAACATCTTCCTGACCAGACCTACAATGTATATTGACAAAACTTAACAAATCTTTGTTTTTGTTTCATGAATATCTATTTCCTTAAAGGAAAATGTAAGTCAAAAAATGATAATTGTGCATTTGAAAAATATTATATCAGTCAAAATCACTAAGAAAATCTCAGATCGTTTTTTGATAAATCAAATTATAACTAGATGGAACTTAGACTGCGCGCAGTCGAAAATGATGCCTCCGTCATAGAGTAATTTTACAAACCAAAACAGAAGCAATTTTTCAAATTCAAGTTTGATTGTAATCCATTAACAGGTTCTCAGAATATTATGATTACAAGCTACTTCTCATAAACATGTATGACCCTTTCATCTTTGACCTCATGACCCTAAAATCTAATCAGTTCATTGGCTTTGCAAGATATATATGTCCAAGTTTGATTATAATCCATCCGTCAGTTCTAATGAGAATGCATTCACAAGCTATTTTTGCATGCATAATTAATGGGCCTCATGACCTTTAACCTTCAATCTCATGACCCCAAATCTACTCAGTTCATTGGCTCTGCAAGATACATACATGTCTTGAGTTTGATGATCATAATGCGATCACAAGCTATTTTTGAATACATAATGAGCCCATGACCTTTGACCTTGACCTCATGACCCCAAAATCTAATCAGTACATGGGCTCAGCAAGATACGTGTACATACATGTCCTGAGTTTGATGGTAATCTGTCTATCTGTCCTAATGATAATGTGATCACAAGCTATTTTTGCATACTTAAAAAGCCTGTGACCCCAAATCTAATCAGTCCATAAGCCCTGCAAGTTACATACATGACCAAAGTTTGGGAGGAATCCATCAGTCTGTTCTTAAGATAACGCGATCAGGAGAACGGGACGTACGGACGTACAAACAGATGGACAGACGTACGGTAAACCCGAAAATAAACGGTGAAAATTACAACTGCCACAAAAATGAAAGTCAGGACTTCACATTTTCATAAGATATGAATGAAGAGTGGTATGTGAATCAAAGCTGAAGAACTGTGATTGGAAAAAGTGTATACGAACTTACTATGACAATGTCTAGATTGTGGACCAGAATGTCCGGTAGTGTCCTCTTGACGACCTCCTCCTCAGGCATCCCATTGAAACGATCCACTTTCCTCCTGGGTTTCTTCTCCTTCAACTTATCTGCTGTCTGCTTCTCCTGTTTGGGCTTCTTGCCTGGCTTCTGCTGCTGCTGCGGATCAGGTGAGGGCGTCTGGATGACCGGTGGTGGGGGGATGTAGTGACCGCCATTATAAGGTGGCATGCCACCACCTCCTCCTCCTCCACCACCACCTCCTCCACCGGTGTGTTGGTGTTGGTGTTGATGGTGGGGGTGGTTGTATTGGTGGTATGTGTCTTGTGGTTCAGCCTTGATGGTAGGGTAGGCCTGCTGGGGCTCTGGTTTAATCACAGGATAATCCTGCGGTTCAGACTTGATGATGGGGTGCCCAAATCCGCCGCTATGTCAGGAAAAAAAACATTTGATATGTTTTACTTTATACAGATTCAAAGATAACATGTATTTAAAATGTATTGAGCATCATACAAATCTTATTTACCTTTGTGTATTACTATGAAATGCAGATTATCTTATGAACAAAAACTGCTAATGAAAGTATAATTCTAAAAGTGATTTCTTTCTTCTCTATGTGAAAAAAACCTTCTTTTTGCCTTATCTATGTAAAGTACAAATGTAAGAAACATAGAATCCATGGATTAGAGTTTCAACATCCATACATTAAATAAGAAATTAAAAGAAAAAGCAAATCTGTCTGTAAGCTGCCTGAAGCTAGTCTGTAAGAGATGAAAGCTGAATCAATGATTTCTTGCAACTACAATCAATAATGCAATCTGATAGGGATCTGTTTACAGGCCTGCAGCTTAATTAATAGCAAGCTTCATTAAATCCTAGCTGGCTAAGCTAAATCTTCAGGCTCTAAATGTGTAAATCACACAAGGATTATACTCATAATATTCTCCTCGATACATGTGCAATGTGTCATAATTATTGTGAAAAATATGCACTACATGTATATGTACATGTACATGTATGCATGCATTTTTGTGAAAACATTAAATTAAATGTTCATTACAGTATGACAATATCAAGCATTATATTGTCATGAATGTACATGTATTCATCAGATCTAAACAGTTTGAGGGTAAATCATGATAAAAATACCTACATATATAATTTTTCTTTTCAAATAATACTTTGAACGATTAGAAGGGCTTCAATTTGATTTAAAAGGTGTGTCATTCAAACATGCCAATAATTAAGTTCACAGTTATATTTGATTTTTCTATCTTGACTAAGTACTGAATGTACAAAATGTAGATATATTCAGCAGTCAAACAACAACAAAATCACTAAAGACCAAACATATATTTCTTTAGAAAATAAGCTACATGAACAGCATGGATCTACAAAAAATATCAACTGTTATGTAGTTCAAATTGACAGAGAATCTCATACATACTGAACACACACAGTCACACACACATTGAAATCGTCACAATTCAAAATTTCCTTTAAATCTTGCTCAATAAAGAACAAGAGGGAGAACAAGTATTTGAATAGGGTCAGCCTAACAATTAGATCCTTGTTTCTTTCAGGTCAACTCAATCAAATGTTTTACATAAGATTGTGTTTCCAATGTGAACACACAATTTTCATGCATACACCTTACTGTAATGAAAGTGTACAATATTGTGCCTATAGTAAACTTTTTATTCTAATCATGGAAATAAACTTTGCAAAAAAAAATTATTAAAAAAAAAATTATGTACAATACGTTTACAATTAACATTTATATATAAATTGAAACTAGTTTAAATGTTACGATCGGGCATTTTTTCATAACATGCACAGTTGCACACCCATGTACATTGTACATATACAGTACTGTAGTTGTGATAGATGAATATTAAAACAAAAGATACACAAGCATATGAAAAAAATATAAACTATATTTAAAGCACTCTCACTTAGAGACAGAAATTATTTATCCAATGATTGTGCAAAATCAATGTAATAGCTTTCACGTGACTTTATATATTGCTTCCACATTGTGCTAATTTTGATGTATCCTCTGGAACATGCATGTGTCACTCTTTAGTCATACTTTCTAAAATATTCTAAGCATGTGTATTGATGATGTGTCACAACCCTCCCTACGACAACTAGAAGTGCATGTACTCTCCATTTTTTCTCTCATTAATTATGAATTTAGAGACAGAAATAGCTTGGGCTGGGATCCTTTTAGTGTTTGCCTTTCCTGTTAGTCACAGATGTTGAATCAACAATAGTTAAGCTCCCAAATCTTGCTTTCTTCCTCTCTCTACCTGGCTCTCTGACTTCATAAACTACATGTACATGTACATGTACTCTACATGTTTATACACTTTCAATGGACAGGCACGTGTTTATACATGTGTACATGTAGATGTTTGTATGAATTTACTTTTGATTTTTTGTATCAAAATCAAGTCTAGGAAAAATTTTTAAAGTTGTATATCTTTAGAATAATTCACACAATTAGAAAGAAAAAAATGGCTAAGTGGAATGGGGAACCAAATAATTAAATAGAATGAATAATTACATTGATTTTTTACTTTTTTTAATGCAACAATTCCTCATTTTACAAGACGAATATCACCACCCCTATTGCAAAAACACATTCATAGTGTAATATGAAGAGATAATTGCTAATGCCTTGCTACACCATGATCTATATTATTGACATTGTAAAAGCTGGTCACATTAGACAAAAAAAGTTTAATGAATTGATTTTGTTCTCATCCCTTTATTACACCAACAGGTACATGTATAGTATTTTCTTTGATCCTCAATGTATATAAAGAAATACAACCTCTTCGTTGTAAATCCTAAATAATTTATTTAATGAAAATATATCTCACCTATTCTCACCATAATAATTGTTAACTCTATAAAATCTGCATTTGTAGAAAAAGGTATTTGGTCATGGAAAGTCACAGCCGAAGGGTCACTAGCCAATATTGAGGATCAGTTTTCAGTTTTTTCTACAGTAACCTTCAAAAGACTTATTCTATACTGCTCTAGATATTAAAGTGATGTGTAACCACACCTTCAATGTGGAATTAAAAATGGCTGATAAGACAACAATAGTCATCTCCTTTGAAGTTCATTGTCCCATTGTCAATATTTGTAGATGTTTGAAGTAATCTATTGATACCAACTTGGGACATTTAAAATGACAGTTTTTTCAAGATATACTGTACATGTTACAATAAGTCTTCCTTCAGCACAAAGAAGTTCAACATTTTAAAATCTTTTGACAAACATTTAAACGGCTGTTGCTGTGATGCATACCTAGTTAATTTCTTTATTTCCTTCCGCAAAAATGATGGAATATCACATTCTCTGATGACCAATTTTGGATTACACATGAAACATTTAAACAGAAACAACTGCATGTACAGGTATATGCACATTCAAGCATGTGTATACATTTAAAATAATTTTAAAATTATTAATCTTTTTAAATTTTCATGAATTTTTCTTCTTCTTTGACAGTAAATATACCCACTTTGCTCTAAAGAGAGCTACATGTAGAAGGACATGAAGTCATGACACTCCCTATAGAGTTAATGTCCTTCTGACTCTTAACAGTCAGATAGTCAACTCTTTCAAATATGTACACCTGTATGTACTGTATCTTCACAAAATAGAAAGAATCAACCAACAGATAATTTCATTTCAACAATGCATTTAGTTTGCGTATGGTAGTCAGCGAGTTTTATTATGAAATAAATCTAATAAAGCCCAGTTTCTTGTCTATTTTCACAGAGTCGAGGCCACTCACAAATCAAGTAATTGTGAATGCGTGGTTATTCTACTAGAAAAATCAATAATTTCTTGTTGGATATAGAGAAATGCAGCATTTAGTGGTTGTAGAAAACTCATGAGTTCTAACAAATACCAGCAAAAATGTATCTACACTACAGTTTGTACATTTAAAAAAAATGATTATTATATCAACATACTATACATGTACATGTATCTTCAATAAAACCCTTCACATATAAGATGTAATTCTGAAATTGGGACATTAATGTGAAATATCATTCAATATGTGTATATGTGCCGATGCATTAAATAATAGAAGAAAAGAGAGGACAAATGTCAAAGTAACTTGAGAAAATTCTAATAGAAGAACAAAAAATTTACAAATTTTGAAAACATTTCAAGAAACCAATCAAACACAAAATTGAAATTGAAAAGTTTGATTTCCCAGGACAGCGGCCCTCCATTTCCTTTGTACTTGTATGATTACAAATATTTATTTATACAGAATGGGTGCATACAAAAGGTGTTTCTGACATAGGTTCAGGTATGATTGATGAAATTACAAACTGAATTCAATAACACAATCATAATTAATTGCTAATTTGTATTTGACTGTATTTTTTTAAAGACTACATGTACATATACATTACTTTCTAGATTAGATTGTTCTTCTCCCCCCCCCCCCCCCCCTCTCTTTTCCTTCTCTCTCTCTCTCTCTCTCTCTCTCTCTCTCTCTCTCTCTCTCTCTCTCTCTCTCTCTCTCTCTCTCTCTCTCTCTCTCTCTCTCTCTCTCTCTCTCTCTCGCTCTATCTCTCTCATTTTGCTCATTTTATAAAAGCCATCTTAATGTCAGGATGAACTCCCTTTAAAGGCCAAGTCTACATGTACATGTAGATCTATGTGCAGTTATACATGTATTATTGCTAAATAAAATCTGAATGTACACAAACATAGAAATTATAATTTTCTCATATTTTGGCCTTGTCAGAGAGCCATTAAATTTAATACAAGAACCCTTAATATGGATTTGATTATTCTTAATTACTCCCACTACTCCACCATAATTCACAGAATAGTTCTTTGTACCTAACGATGAGAACAAAGAAGTTTAAGGTCACATACTAATTATGTATAATTTTTTGTATAGGCCACAACTTCTAAACTAACTGGTTTTAAAATGTATATTGTAACAACAAAGTACATGTACATTGAGCTACATGTATCTACTGCCTACGGGTTGCATCTGCATGAAGATACTGGTTAAAAAAAGGACTACAGATGTTTTTAACCATTAACTTCGCATACTACTCAAATTGTCCAAATTTATTGGTTCAAGGATTTGGAATGATATCAATTCATGTACAAGAATACATGGTTGAAACAGATACTTAAAAAATCTTTTTTTCTCTCTATCTCCTTTGTTTACCGGTAGTATATATTTTAATATTTTATTAGCATGATATAGATTTTTGAGCAAAACTACACATCTTAGAACAGACATAAGCCATGTAATTGATGTTTTAAAAAAATTCTTTTCATCAAATTCATCATCAGCATATTGTTTTATATCTCAGGTTTACACTGATTCACTTAAATTTCTAACACAATTTTTATCCCAGGATTTTCAAA